AAAGAGAATAAACTAATAAGAGTTTTCACATAATGTAATTTCCTATCTAGCAAGTTCCGTTTTTTTCGACGATTTCTGTTGTGCCTGGCGCACGCGTAGATCTACACAATTCATTCATTAAATGAACATTTGACATTGCCTTTCCGATCGGACGAGAATACAGGACCGGCTTCGCCACGTCCGACACTGATACAATAATTTTATGACTTATTAGAGTATTGGAACGAAAAGGCCTGTAATGTTTAGTTACTGGCCTAAATGTAAGGATTAAATTTTGAAATTGGGCAATGTAATAGGTTGAGTGTTTGCATCATAAAGTCTTAATATTATAAACTTGATAAAACATAACTATTTACATACCTTGAACTTGTTTATTATACGGTGAATTTAAATATCTACCATAAAAAACAGCTGTCAGTCAGAATATCCATAGCTCAATAAAATTACCTATAAAAATATCAACAAATACTTTTAACTACGTATTTTAAAGAAGCTGCCCACCAAAGCATACACGTATACAATGGTGTATTTATGGTATAACATATTTGTAACTTTCATAGTAGATATTAGGTTTAAACGTTTTCATACTTTTTCGAAGTTTCCCTACACTTCAGCAGACGATGTTACAATATCCTGCCTTTCCTAAGAAGAGCTAATCAGCATATTCTACGACCTAAACAAGAAACATGGAGCAGCTTTTAAAAATTGTCAACAATGCACATGTTACGATTTGATCGGAACACATATACATATTATCATTTGTTGAACTCTATCGAACAAAATTCAGAAGTAAGAAAAACATGATCGTTAGTAGATAAAAAAACTGATCTATAATAACTTATTTATTTTAACAAGGGAAATGCTATTTATAAGTACTCTTACATTTTATATAGTTGGTTTATAGGGCTATATATTATATAAATACTATACATCCTACTATTGAGTTAAATATAGCTAAAGTTAAACAAACAACAGTTTGCGAAGCCCTACTTAACAATTAATGATTTTCCCCACACACAAAAGGTTTCACGAATTATTATAAAACTTCATTTTACAACTACAACTTACAAACCTACAATCATCCTAGATTTATTTAACATTTAGTTAAGTGTTTTTTTTATTATACATGTAAATTTTTAAGTTTTTGAATTTGAATAGGCTTTCCTTGCCTTAACTGGAGATTTGTTTGCTTCAAAACATGATAAATTTTTAACCGAGTAAAAAGTGACAAAAAGAAGTTGTAAGGAAATTTTTTACAAGGATGAGGATTAAATATTTCTTTTAATTCATTTTTAAGTTTGTAAATAATATGAAAGCAGAAAACAAGATACCTAACTGTTATAATGATTTACCAAACGTTCACTATGATTCATCAAACGAAAAGACGAAAACCAGACCTGGCAACGAGATGCCCAACTAGTGTCGACCTTCTCTTGTTTTCCATTTCACTCATTTGCGTGATTGCGTGTCTCCTGTTGTCACTGACAAATATAGCTAGATATGCGAGGATGTTTATAATTAAATCAGTCTCATAAATTTACTATAGTTTACTATTACCTGCGCCAAGTGCATCATTTTTCACTCAAATTGTATGTCCTTGGCGCATAGTGACAAAGATAGAAATTTGGTCGACGGCATGAATGAATGTGAAAACTCTTATTAGTTTATTCTCTTTGCCCTGGCTTAATAATAGTGTGTCGAACGCGACTGGTATGCACGTGCTCGCAAGTCGCAAGAACTCGCTTGATTTTCAAATCCAAGTTATACGCAAGCTGTTTTGAGGTTAATTTAGTTTTTGTAATAATTTGTTAATATTCTATTGGAATATGGTAATTCTAATGTACATTTCAATATGGAACAACAAAATATTGGCAATAATTCATTCACATTTACAATCAACAATTTTAGAAAAAAACAAAAGGAAGTTTTTCATGGATCAAAATTGTTATTGAGAGACTATTCTAAATATAATATTAATAAGCCTGGAAGAAACCAGTGGCTTATAGGAGATAGTTCCTTAAAAAGCAACCAAAAGAAGAAACAAAATAATTTGGTTAGAATTAGCGATCTTACTGATCAACAGAAAAAATGTGAGGATAGTCTCAATACCGTAAAACGTAAGAAGCGCAAAAAGAGAAAAAAAAATAACGTTGAAGACATGCAACAAAAGTTTTTTGAAAGCAATGCAGTAAATGGTAAAAAATATACAACAAACCCTAAAAGTGAATTAAATACATCTTTTAGAGACACTAATTACAAAAAATCAATCGCATGTCCGTTAGGCACGTCGAATGTTTCGATGACTTCCCACGTTGTAAATCATTCAAATAGAAATTCAAATGATATTAGAAGCACAGTTTCAAGTAACTACAATGTTAGTTACAAGCAAAAGAAGAAAAGAAAAAAATTAGAAAAGCAGAAGTATGATACTATTAACAAATTTAGAGGCAATAGTAACACAAGTGAATCAAATTACAGTGGTCAATTTGCATTAAATGGCTCTGAATCTAAAGTAGTTAATAAACAGGATTTAGATTTGCTTTATTTTGATATATATGGGAATGGGAGAACTAGTAAAGAACAAGAAGCAAATAAAAATGTAGTATGTAATGGTTCTCACATAAATATATTTAACTGTGATACTTCTAATAACTGTAATGATAAAAAAACTATGTTACAGCAAAGTGAAAATCGAAGAAAGAAAAAAAAAGATAATGTTAACGAATCTAATAATTTCAATTTTCTGTTTTATAATATAAATAAAGATTCAGATCAGATATGTGATAAAAATGATGTTCTGATAGAGACTGGTTTAGAAAATAATTTAGAATCTGAAGAGGTAGCTGTGATGAGTAGTGAGGATAAAGAGAGATTCAATGTACTTGGTAAAGAGTCAAGAAAACGTAAAAAGAGAAATAAAAATGCAGGAACCTCTATAAACATTTTGGATTCTGAGGATGAAGTAAAATTAAATAAACATATTTTACTAGAAGATAATGGGACAAAAAGAACAGAAAATAGTTTTAAAATGCAGGATAAATTGAAAAAGAAGAAGAGTCGAAAAAAGTCTGTTGATTTGATAGTAAATGTTTCAGACAGTGACTGTGAGTTTATTGATTTTGATAATTCAATTTCAAAGACAAAAGGCAAGCATAATACATATAAAATCGACGAAAAAGATTCTAAACCGAAACACAAGACAAGAATAATGGAAAATAATATGCAGGAAAATATTCTTGGATTCAGTAATGCTAACACTAAAAATGCTTTACTAAAAATGTCAGAAAAAAGTAGTGAAGATAATAAAGAATCTGATGAACTAAATGTAGTAGATGATTGTAAGTTTCTTAAAGTTAAAAAGAAAAAAACTAAATCTCAAGCTGACAATAATATAGGTTATACAAAAAACATGAGCAAGTTTAAAAAAGATGTTGAGGATGTACATGATACTAATATTTCAAGAGAAGATGTATTTGATTGTAATATAAATTCACTGGAAAATAAAAACAATTCATTACCTGTAACACCAGATACTAAAGCCTGTGAAATTGTAAAAGCTGCAGAATTGAAAACCCATGTAAATGAGAATGATGGAGAATGTGAGATTATTGATTTTGTTAGTTCAAATAGGAAAAAGAAGAAGCAACAATTTATTAATGTTGAATTGGATGCTATTTATTCACCCAAAAGGAAACAAAAGGTACAAGCAAAGGAAACTGATGTTCAAGAAAATACACATGAAACTACTAACACATCGAAATTATTGAGAAATATCAATAAAGATGATAGCGAATACAGTGAAATGAATATAACTGATGATTTTAAGCGTGTCAAATCCAAAAAGAAAAAACATAAAAATTACTCTAACAGTAATATTTTAAATATTCTTAAGAAAGAAGAAATAGATGAGGAAGATGATGTACATTACCAAAATTTCAGGGAACTCAATGACTCTGAATCTACAGAAGAGGAACAAGATTCAAATGATAAATTCAAATATTCCAAACAATATGGATTCACCTCTAAAAATTATATGGCAAGTGGAGGCAAATTATTTTATGAATCGCCAGGAAATAAGAGTTATACAATGTCTCAAGATGTACAAACAAATACAAACAGAAGGAATGAGCAAAGTCAAATTGGAGATAATGATACATTGACGATTATTTCTGAGGATGAATGTGAAATTATCGACTATGTTAGTTCAAATTCAAAGAAAAGGAGGAAACGTGTTACTAGTACAAAATCAGATGTCTACAATACACCCAAAAAGAAATATAACACAACAATAAAAATTGTTGATAATAATGAGAATTCTGCAACAGTGTCAAGAAAAAATAATTACGATGCAAGTATATCCAAAGGACAAACTGGAAATAGTGCTTCAGATGTTGAAAAACAGAAAATATTTAAGGAAGTCAATAATAAACAACAAGAGCATTACAACAAACTAGATACGGTTAAATCCCTAAAAGAGGAATGGTGTTGGGACGACGAATTAGGGAACCATTATAGTATTTCACATAAAAACAATGAGATGGCGTGTGTAACTAAAGACGATAAATCTGTAGAAACTAAAACCGAGATACAGGAAACCAGTACAAACAGTTTAACCAGTAACGTAAAGCTTGAATGTTACAGTGATAAACCAAATATTGGAGTATTTACACTTAGAACTGATTTAAATTCACCAACTAAAACAGTTCAAAAATCAGACGAAATGGAAATTAAAGGTATGGAAGTTTATTAGCACTTATAAATGCCTTAATTTGAAATGAAATACCTCGTCTAACTTTGTCGTGTTTTGTACAGTAGTAATAGATCCCTTGTTTGAACAGAAGTAACCCTTTTATCCATTTTGTAACATTATTCATGTGCGCTTATATTTGATTTGTTTTTAATATTAATTCCCTATTATTTCATTTATTTAAACATTTATAATATATAATATTAATATTTATTTGAAAACATATTTTATAGATGATAATCAAGATGACCCGAGCAATTCAAAAAGTGAATCAACATTTTTAGAAGAAGAAACGAACAAAGTGGATGAGAAAGTTAAAAATATTAAAACACCAAATAGTTCTGAAAGTGAACATGAGATAATCGACTACGTTGGTTCAAGTACTAAGAAAAAGAGAAAACATATCACTGGTGAGGAGTTAGAGGCCCGTAATACAAACAAAAAGAAATGCAAAACAGCAAAGGTGAAAAACGAAGAAAACGTTGAAATTCGTAATGCATTAAATAATTTACAATACAATGAAAATGAGTTGAGTGGAAAAAATCCAGCCGATGATTATAATTTAGTCAAAGTTGAAAAGAAGAAACATAAATTCTTGGAAATTCGAACTGATGTAGATTACGTCGAGAAACAGGAAACTATTAAAGAAGAAGTCGATAATGAACGGCAAGAGAATCCTTTTGAACTAGTTTTAGTTAATTCTCTAAAAGAGGAACATTATCAGGACGAATTAGAAGATTGTAACAGTATTTCATTGAAAGAGAACGACTTGAGCAGTGTCTATGAAACTGAGGACGACAGTACACATGAATCTCAGAAAATTTTTAACGACTGTCAGTCTTCAGACAGTTCTGAAAATGAGGACAGTACACATGGATCTCAGGAAATTTTTAGTGACGATCGGTCTTCAGACGGTTCGGAAATAATCGGTTCTAAATGGGGATATGCGCAATATAATACTGAGGTGGACGAAGATGGTACAAATAATTCGACTAATGATGCATTAAACTCTTATGAATATCATATCGATAAAGTAAATATTGATGCAATTACAAAGGATTCATATGTATCAGATCACATAGAAAGTGAAGGTATAGTATTTTTTTTTTTAAGTAATAAATTTTGGCCTACGGGCTTGAACCAATTGATTTTATGGAAAATCGATTACTTTTAAATCTGTCAGGTATAAAAATAAAACCTATCAATTTTGCGATGATTCTTGTCCAATACAAAACCAGATCCAAAATATGTAATTGGTTTGTATGTCGGATATTACATAGAATGAAGAATATTTATCTTAAATTATGATCTTGTATCTTCGAACCACATATAGTCTTTCCGATATCAGTTGAAGAACCAAGAGAATGACAGTATGTACCAGGTTCGGTCGCTGACGCAGCAACTCGGCATTGAAATATTTGAAAAACTTGTTCCTATATTTATTTAGCCCTACTCATATACAGGTCTGGTCGAACTAAACGTGGAGGTGGTAGAAATGTATACGCCCAGTTGAAGAATGCGAGCGCGGGTAAACGAAATGCAAATACAGTTGCATTGGTCCACTGGGCAATAAATCTCAGCCGCTGACAAGTGGTTGACAAATTGCCCAGCAGTGCAGTGTAGCAATTGCGGAATTTGGTGTGATTCATTTAATTTTAATTTGTTATAGGCACCTTCTATTAAAATCATTGATATTACAATTGCGAAAGGGAGAAATAATATTATTATAGAAATTTTCTGCACATTATATACAAATTATTATAATTTTTTACCTTTAGCAGGAAATTTTTTTAGGGAAGCCTATGAAACTCATTAAATTTTATCGCCAGGCGTTTTTTTACATGTTCAACTGACTTCGGAAAGACTATAACAGAAAGTGCCTTAAATGAAATAAAATATGCACTGGAAATACGTGTTATCCGGAATTTTGAATATCACCGAGTCCGAACGAATAGTCGAGTTTATCCTGTGCTAATTATTAAGCTCAAAGTAAATAAATAATTAGTTTACATTTATATTTCCCTATTTTTTTATAGAGGATGAGGACAGAAAAAAGGAAAGTCCAGATAAAATCAAGAGGAATGAGGAGAGTATTCGTAAAAGACAAAGGAAGTCGATTATACCGGTAATATGCACCGATCCAGAAGAACTTGAGGATGACATTGAGAAGCTGAGGAATTTAATAGTCCTGTTCCCTTTCAGTATACCTCCTTTGCATGCTTTAACAACCAGAACGACTACACCGACAAAGGAATTGCTAGAAAAAATTCGACAACAGAATTTGTCGATAAAAAGTGGACCTTTCAGCAAAGAAGAAGACGAGAAGATCATAGAAAATTGGAAACAGTTATGCAGAGTCAGTAAATTATTTTAGTTGTAAAGACAATTCTAACCTTTTTTTTTAGGAACATGGTTTGGGGATGAACCCTTCCCTATTTTTCAAATTTCCTACGAAAATGAAGATGGAAACGAAAGTAGACATCCTACGTTACCTAGCACACGACATGGACGATCGCCTCGTGCACCGAGTATATATTAGATTTCGGCACCTACTTCAACAAGACCATATAAAAACCGGACGGTATTTTGTCGCAAACTGTCTTATTTCGTTCATACAAATATTTTTGTTTTCAGGTTCACCCCCGAGGAAGATGAAATGTTATTAGAGTTTCTGAGGAACACGCACTCGGGGCGTCCTTTTAGTGATTTATCTAAACTACTCCGTCGCACCAAAACATCTGTTGAAAGACGCTATAATCTACTGACGAATAATGATAATAAAGTAACTCATTGGACTGTAGAAATGGTCGATAGGTTCGTTAAGGCGCTAATGAAAATTACGAAATGTGAAAAGGTAAAGAAACTGAAGCATAGAGAGTTTACGAATAAAGAATGGCAAAAGTTGTCCAAAAAATTGGATAATATACCTATTAAAAAATTACAACGTGCATGGAAAGTTACAATATATCCCCGATTGTTTTCTAAGGAAGTTGATATGAGAGAAGTGAAGGAGGATATAATAAATATGTAAGTATCGTATTTTTTTTCTTGATATTTTTATACAGGGTGTGCGGTAAAAAATGTGACATACTCAAGAGTGGAAATGGGTGAAAATAAAATCAAGTTACCGTAGTACAATTTTGCTTCCTTAAAATGGTGCCTCCGCTTTTTAAAATATTTCAATGAAATTTGGTATAGGGGAATTTTTGGGGTGGTAAGATATGAAGATGATCTAAATTTTTACTTAAAACATAGAGATCTTTAAGAACACCGTAAACAGTGTTTCGTTTTTTGCAATTTTTTTATTAGAAATTTTAAAGAAATAAATGTTCTTTGAAGTGCCATTTTATTTACTTCAAAAAAGGTACCGTTCCAAAGAAAACTGGATTTTTAATTTTTTACAGCAATGGTGAGACCCGTACCGGTTTTTAGGCGATGATAATCTATGTGATTACCAAATTATTCATGTATTTTGCGCACAAATTTTCATTTCAATATCTTCATTTGTATCTACAGAGCGTTCATAATTGTTTACAAACCACGTAACTGCCGAGTTTAGGCAACCCAACATTGCACGATTGGTGCTGGTATAGTCTTTCCGACCTCAATTGAAGACCAAATAGCTAGGCAGTATGTACCAGGTTCGGTCGCTACGCAGCAACTCGGCATTGAAGTATTTGAAAAACTTGTTCCCATATTTATTTAGCCATACCCGTATACTGGTCTGGTCGCCCAGTTCGAGAATGCGCGCGCTGCCATAAGTTTTAGTTGTCGACAAATTGCCTAGCAGTGCAATGCAGCAATGCGGAATTTGGTGTGATTCAGGTCATTTTAATTTATTAGAGGCATCTTCTATTTATTAACTATTCATATTATAATTGCGATAAGAGGGATATTTTGTTTATTAATATTATTACATGGCATTTTGGAGACCTTTTGAAACGGAACAAAACGGAATACCGCCAGACAATATTGAATTAGTAGAACCTGTTGTTGTTGAAACAGATTTAGATTTTAAAAATAAAGATTTACATGTATAATGTCAACGTCTCATTTTGAATATTTACGATTGTTTAAAAAAGAAAATGAAAAATCATATAATGAAATTGTAAATAGAATTCAAATATTAACTGCAGTTTTTCGTGTTATTAAACAAGGTCTTATAGATCATTGCGTAAAGAGGAAGCGAAACCAAAAATTTAAAAATTGGCCTTCAAAGTTGTCAAAAAAAACAAATTTAATTAATAACTTCATAACCCTTTTACCGATCGCGTTAAAATTTGGCACTGTAACTAAAAAACCAAAAATTTGTTATTAAATTTTTTTTCGTAGATCGTATTTATTTATCGTCAGTCAAACGTCGGTGAAGTTTGCGGACACCCTATATATAAGTATGTAGAATAATGTAATAATTTTATGTTGTACCTATGTCGGTTAACTCTGTTTTTTTATAACACAACCAAGAAGTTGTAGCTAATCGGAAAAATTGGCCTAAAGCATCACTAAACTATTTTTTTTTTTAGTTTATGTGATCGAAACGAAACAGATTGGAGAACGGTGAACTGGAAGGAAATAGCAAAGCACTTTAAAGGTGTCACTGCGGATAAAATATACATGATGTTTAAACAACTGATACACTTCCACGTGCCTAGACATAAACGTAGTGATCTTAAAGGTATTTATGTCGGTGATTCAATTATTTCAATTATAATTGTAATTCGTTTTGCAGAGTGCCTGGATTTCTTGAACAGTATGCTCTCGAGATATGGTAGGTTACATTCTACACATAAATTTAAAAAATTTATCGTTAAAAACGGCCACATAACTTATAATATTGAAAACTCCAATTAATAATCGTCATGTTTAGTTTGATTTATTTTTTAGTTTTGACGTTTTAAATAAGAAGACTTTTGTTATTGTAAAAAACCTTTTATTGAAAAAAAAAACAGCCTAACCAGTAACTTTAGATTTTTGTTTCTTTAATGTTTTTTCCTTGGCCTGCTCATATAGAGGCATGAGCTTTCCCTCCTTTGCTAATATTTTAAGTATCTCTACGATAAGAGGTAAGTAATTGTGTTTTCGCCTTATATTTTCAGTTTGATATTGACGTCTTTTATTATCCTCTTCGTTAATTAGTAAACGCAATCTTGTCAGTTCTGCTTGTTGCGAATCAGTTTCCATTCCTGCACCTTCGATTTGTTTTTGAATCTCCTCTATTTGTCTTTCGTACAACATTTTCCTGTCGCTTACTATTGCCATGAGATTAAAATGAATTTCACCTTCGCTGTACCTAAAAAAGATTTAAATATTAACATAGTAGATCCTTGAAAGTGGCTAAATCCAATAATCTGGACTACATTCTGTTAACTTGAATATTTTAAAATGTAGTCTGAATTTCAACATTCCTAGACACGCAGGAATCTTAGTTTACATACTTGGTTTAGTTCTCTTTGATAATTAGCAGACGATATGTTCAGCACATCGAATAAACATAAACCTACGATCACTAAAATTAAAACGCAAAATGGACTGCAGAAAAACATGGAGGGTTTTGGAAGAATAGTACTGGTTTTTATGAAATTATATATATTGATTTTTATTGTAAAAACTCTATTTGTAAAGTAAAAGTAAAATGTTAAGTACTCAAAATATATTTTATAAAATATTCTCTCTATTTAATTCTACATTGCAGCATTTATGCAGTTTTAAAAAATGTATACCTTTGAATACGTTTTTCTATGATAGGTCGTGCGACATCTGTCCAATCAATGTCGGCTGGTACAGCCCCCAAATCGATCGGGCCCTGTTTTAAGCCGTCCAGTTCGTACAACCTCCCATCTATTGGCACGTAACCCACGAAATGAAAGACATCTTCGTTTTTGTTGCTCATAGACGGGTCAAATTCAAACAGTTGTTGCCTTGCAAAAGAATTATGAACTGTTCGAATAACAGGCGAATTACTTATAGTCAGACCCTTCATATTCGCATCAAATCCTTGACAAAAATCTTTGAGTTCCGTCAGTGTATGGCCAAGCTTTAAATCTGTATGTCGGCAATTTAAAAGAATACTCAATATAGCTTGAGTAGCACACGCATTTTCTATTACTTGTCTTGCAAAAAATATTTTTTCCAGTCTGCTATCTTGTACTAAAGATCCTGATGGGTCGTCTTCCTTTGTCCATTTAAAAAGAAAAATCAAACCATGGATTGGCCTATGAACACAAAATATAAAATTATACATCTATTTTGAATTAAACAATATCCTTACTTTAAATTTTCAAATTGTTCCCCATCTAAACTCCACAGTTCCTCAACTTGTACACCTTTACAACCTGCAAATTACAGTTGCATTATTTAGTAATTGCCATATTTGCTATTAGTTACCAAATTCTCTAATTAATTCAGTAAAAACTCCTGGATCGCTTTCAATTAAACACCAATTTCCAGCACTTTCGGCCATGGTACGTTTTAACTTTTATTTATTTTAAATTATAAAATAAATAAGCATTTAACCTCAAAAGGCAAATAGTCACGAAATTTGACAATCGAATCGACAATTACTTTTAGTTTTTTTTCTTTTTTACCCTATAGTAGGATTTGAGCATTCGTTTTGACAATAACGCAGAACAAATACTTCTCGTGATCCTTGTCAGAACAAATCCTGTAAGTGAAGTGACATCTTTGGTGAAATAGTTTAAGAAACGAAAAATAAGAGGATTTTTTTGAAGGCGATCACCCTAGATTACATAGTCCATTGTAAAATTGTAAATGGCAGTATGTAATCAAGTTCTAGTAAGCTATCAGTTAATTTTCCTATATCCTTATCATCAGTGATTCCCCGTAGGTGTAAAATTCTGTTATTCTTTTACCTATGGGTTGACTAGTCTGTGGTACTGCAATATCTGTATCTGTGATCTATGCAGTTCTGTGCTACAAAATTTCTCGTATTTAAAAACTTAAATAAAAAAATACCAAAAAGGAAAATGAAATTACTTACACATAATATGTTAACTTCTAAATGTATGAAAGGAGTAAGTGTTGGATACCCCCTTGGAATAAACGTGAGTTTTAAATTATTTTTTATTATCTGGTATTTAAGGTTATTTGTGTACCTATATTTTATTTTCAATATATTTAAACGCTCCGATATTCCTACATTACCTTTGCTTTTCAGGCATCCGATGTTAGGGTATCCGAGGTAGACTTTAACCCTGATTTTGTGGCAAAAATGATTCCAAAATTAGATTGGGAGGTTTTGTATAAAGCCGCAGAAAGTATTGGCCAACTGGAGGATTTACCAAAAGAAATTATTGACAACTACGAAAGTGACCACGAATTTTTAAAGAAAGTGCATCATGTTTTACTAGAAGTCGACATCATAAATGGAGAATTAGTTTGTCCGGAATCTGGTAGAAAATTCCCTATAAATAATGGTATTCCCAATATGTTACTAAATGAGGACGAAATATAAACATGTAATAGGTAACTTATTTTATTTTTATGAAATCTGTAATGTCTTGTTTTCGATAGTATTTGCTTTATATCTTACGACTAACTGGCTAGTGAATAAACGAATGGTATATAGTTTATTACTGTTGGAAATATGTTTAATATTAAACTTAATGTTAGATATCGTTTATTATATAATTGTTACGCCTAGTTCATATGACGTGGAATTGAGATAAATTTAGGATGGAATGGAAAAACTACTTATCTTTGATCGCTTCCAAAGTTTACATTCTTACAACTGGTCGTGAAGAAGTTTCTTACTCATATGGACACTTAGAATTCGATTACAATTAAAAAATAGTGGAATGGAAGAAATGGTAGAAAAATCTGTAAAGCAAAGATATATTTTTAACTACATTTTATATCTACACGGTATATTAACTAAATTAACACTACAGTTCAATCTATCTAAATTACAAAAATAGGTGTTTTGAAAAATATACATACATTAAATTTTGTATTAGGACTGTGCAAGATTTGTAAAAGAGTAGGATGATAGTGGAGTTTAATAGTATTAGAAATAGAGAAACGGCAAACAAAATTGCTACCCACAGCCAATACAAATTTAATTTTTAACCTGGTATTTATACTGAGATATCAGAAAAGTTTCATCAGATTAATATGTGTTTATTCAACTGGACTTATCCAGAGACATCACATAAACTTTTCTTGATGACAGAGTATAAATTAAATCTAGAATCAAAAATTCTTTACATCACAAAAATATTAGCCTAAATCTCTAAACAACACCATTTACGTTGTTAATAAAACAGAACAATTTAAACACATATTTGAGACACGATACACATAATTTTGTTACAGTTAAGACAGTGTAACAAAAGGGATACAGCTCTCAAGAGGAGAAGAATGTTATTACTTTACAAATTTAACGTTTTCAACTTATCTGCACTTTTACACTCCTGAATATATCTTCATTCTCTATTATCAACTCGAATAATAAAGGTTGTAAATATCTGAAGTGTGCACCGAGTGTGAAAATCCAGAGAAGTCGAAAATGCTGTAACTACCTGGTATTTTGAATAACTGATCCTAGCGTAGGCCTAAAGTTACATGAATGAATTTCTAAAATGAGATATCAGCTGAAGTTGATATATTCTGCTACTATGAGGCAGAAACAACTAAATAAAATTTCATTTTGAATGTTGTAAATACATTTTATAGAAAAATATGTTAAAAATATATAAATAACTAATAACAGATAAATAATGTTCGCAAATAACACAATATAAAATTTATAAAAATAATATAAACACTTATTTCATTAATAAACATATATAAAATTTTGAAAATATTCGAAGTTTCAAATAATTTTTATTTTGAGGCTGTTTCGTTTCTCATTACAGGGATCTCGGAAATGGTAAAAGAGCTTAAATGGGGGACCAACATTATGCCTCTATAAAATCATGGCTAACATAATCATGTTGAAAACTAATCAGTTTTCAAAATATTTGAAAAAAAAACGAAATTTTGGAAATCCATTTTTGTTTAATTTTAGCCTTGTTTGAGATATTGAAAAAAGAAGAACGCTTTCTCATGGCAACTTTTTGTCCTCTATCGAATGGCATAATCAATTTTTATATGTAACGTTTCTTCATTTTTGTAAATACGACCCTGGAAATTTTATTACATTTTTTGCAAGCCTTCATGACCCCTAATACTGTACTGCCTCAGTGCCCGAACCAGATTCATACGTTTTGTCTTGAAAAATTAATCATCAATGTATTTATTCCAAATATCTCTAATTTTTTATTTAGATTTCTATGTTTATTGAATTATCGTACACTCTTAAGTATCGTTAAGCCCTGTGAAATCCACCTAATTATTTAAACTATTACCATCACATGTTACAATAAAACATTATTAGAGTTTTAGTCTCCGTCACCTGGTCATACATAATTCAATAAGTTGTGTCAAAATTAAAACATTACAATTTTAATTTCATTATGACAAATTAATTCTTAAAAACGCATATGAACAATCAAAACTCCAAATGAATTTTATAGTTTAAAAAATTATAGTAAATGTTTAAAAACGTTTCCGTTATGGCAAACGTTGAAAATGAGGACAAGCTAAATATGATCGGAATTTTTTATATCTGTAACCACAAGTGTGAAAGAGCGTGTCAGATGTATTTGTATGAATACCCTGAAAAAAATTAGAACAAAGTTTGTTCGAATTTTGAGCATCCGAGAACTTTAGAAATAACTATGAGCACGGGATTAAAACTCAAAGAATGTTTTATTGTAACGTGTGATGATAATAGTTTAAATAAGTAGGTGGATTTCACAGGGTCTAACAACACTTAGAGTGTACGATAAATTCAAGAAACCTAAAAAGAAAATTAGATAAATTCGGAACAAATACATTGGAAAGGAATTTTTCGAGACGGAACGGTTGAATCTGGTTCGGGTTGAGGCAGTACAATAAAATTTAAAGGGTCGTATTTAAAAAAATGAAGTTGATGATGGTCCTGGAGAGGAAACGTTACATATAAAAATTGATTATGCCATTCGATAGAGGGCAAAAAGTTGCCATGAGAAAGTGCTCTTCTTTTTCAATACTACCTCAAACAAGGCTGAAATGAATCAAAAACGGATTTCCAAAATTTTGTCTTTTTCAAATATTTCGAAAACTAATCATGTTAGCCTTGATTTTTTAGAGGCATAATGTTGAGCCCCTGATTATGCAACTTTGTTCCCATTTAAGCTACTTCGTATCTCTTACCGTTTCCAAGATCCCTGTATTGAGAAGCAAATTTGTAACAGCCTGTATATGTAGAGAGCACTCATTAAAACAATAAAATAAAATAGTAAACTGTTATAAAAATATGGTAAAATATTATGCCTAAATTATTCAGAATATAATTCAATAGAAAATTGTATTAAATAAGCTTGTAGATAATAATTAAAGTTTCAACAGAACTTCTGCAAACGTAAACCATAATTAGAAATAATCAATATATTTTTTAAACATATAGAGTTTGTTTTTTACAAGTAGCTAACAATTATTTGGAATAATTTTTTTAATATTTCAAAGAATTTGTGTATTTTGGACTCTTTTTATTTTATGAAAAAATGTAATCCTTGTTAAAAAGTTCTGCCTTTGTTCAAATCTAGAAAAATGTAGTTTTAAGTGCGCCAATTCAATGATACATTATATCAGTCAAAAGACAAAAAATTAATAATTTTTCAATATTCGATATTTATAAGGTATCCACAGATCGTCTTCGACAGACGTGTCGAAAATAAGAAAAATTTTGTAACTAAAATTTTGGCATTTTAGAAAACAACTTTTTAAGAGTTTAACAAACATTCACTTTAAATGTGTATGTCGTAGCTATCAAGTATCATTTACCAAGTGAAAATAGTAAGCTAACGAAGTTCATATCAGTTTGCACCGGTAGTTATAAAGGTACGCTACTTCTGTCAAATTAACAGCATCTGGGAGAAAAAAGTTCTCTGTTCAAAAAAACAATAATAAACATAACAGAAATTTAAAAAAAATAATGCACTTAAGAAGTAATCAGACCCTTCCAAATTGTGAACATGCAACTAAGCGATGACGCTCGAATGAAGCCTTTTGATGCATTCTCTATTTGCGATACAGTGTAAAACGATAAAGAGGTGACAATGTGGCTATCAAAAAATATTTCGTTGGGTTGTACTTTTCCTTCACCTTTTTCTTTGTAAGATCGGACTTGCAATGCAAAAAGTAAGATAAAATAAGAGGAAACTTAAACAGTAGCATATAAAAAATATAAAACAAAAATATTTGGTATAGAACTTTGGTCTTTCAAGTTTAAGTTGAGAGTATTATTAGCTTTTTTGCTTCCCCAATTTACTTGAGCTGGATTAACGCAACTTTACATTACACTAAAACTTATCGTTAACAACAATAACTACATTACCATTATTTTAAACAAACATCAAGAAATGTGCTATTACGTTAAGTGGGTCTTTTTTCGTTTACAATATGTTACAAACATAATGTTATTTGCCGCGAGATTCCCCAACAATAGCATTTTTAAGTTGAGAAAAGATCGAGCCTTTGGCCAAATTTCTTTTGGGACCCTTTCGTATTTCTGCGTTTGGACCGCAAACCTGGTAAGTTCTTTCCGACAAAAGTTCCGGATTTGGACCCTTGGCCAAACCTCCAGGACCTTTTCTAAAAGTCGCATTTGTTCCTTGCCACTTCACATAATCCTCTCTAAAAGAAATTTATTAAGACAAACCATTGGAGCATTATGATATATCTATTCTTTAGATACGGGCAGAATATGATATTTTATTTTGTTATTATAATGCTGAAGGTATGGTCAACTTATACAGGGTGTTTCAGTAGGATATGTACATACTTCAGTATGTTATTCTACGTTCAATTTTAAGCAAAAAAATTTCCTATGAACTTAGGTCTGGAAACGCTTCGTTTAAGATATACAGGATGTCAAATTTAAAAAAATTAATTACATTTTCTTTAATAACTCTCGACTACTTTAATTTAAATTCATGAAATTTTGTACGCTGATATGTTATTTTGTTATGCCTTTTCCAATGGAAATACACGGGCTGCTCAAAGAGAATATCGGAGACAATTTCCTAATAGAACGGTTCCAGTTGCAAGGATGTTTACTAACACATTTACCAAATTACGTTTTCTTCCAAGTAGTCATTAACATTCCGAATTACGCAAACAAGACTTATCCTTTCCACATTTAAAACGCACAAACTTTTCAACCAAGAGATCATGCCAGAAGATTGGAATTTTACTTGGAAAATTGGGATTTTGGAATTTTTTTATTTTTTTACTGACGAAGCTGATACATAATTAACACTAATACAATTTGCATGCATCATCATCTTTAGATGAGTTTTTTACGGAAACGGCTACTCCTAGACCTCAATAAGATGTACATTTCTTAAGTAAAAAAGATAGGGAAAATGTTTTTCTATTCCGAAATGACATACACCTTGGCACAAAAAAGTTGAAAAGATTTAAAATGATCCTAATGGTCGTTTGTCCATAAAATTTGAATTTCTCATCCCAAGAAACCTCCGCATACTGAATTTCATGAATTTAACTCAAAGTAGTCAAGAGTTATTAAAGAAAATGTAATTAATTTTTTTTTAATTTGACATCCTGTATACCCTAAATGAAGCGTTTTCAGGAAATTTTATGCTTAAAATTGAACGTAGAATAACATACTGAAGTATGTACATCTCTTCCTGAAACACCCTGTATGATATTAAAGATACAAAACTAAATAGTTATATTACATCAATAAGACGAATTTGTTTGTGAATCTATTCACCGTTAGACATTTCTATAAATTCTTAATTGATTGAAAAGATGATTTAAAATACACGAAGTAACAAAATTACGATGAAAAATTAATAATTATTCTAAGTTTAACGAAAATAATTTTTAACTTACAGAAGTAATTTTTCATTGGCACCTTTTGCATATAAAGGATTGTGGCCCTTGGTACTGGCTAAATTTTTTGAGTGTGAATCGTGCTCTTCAATTACCCTGAAAATTTAATAGTTACTTTCCTGAGAAAACTGATTGTAACTAAAACCCAAAAAATCAACGCTTTTTAGTTTCATGAATTTGTAATAATACATTTTTTTTAGTACCAATTTATAGATTTAATCGCTTTTGATCAATTTTTTTGAAAAAAACGACTATAACAAAATAATTAGTTTCAAAATTTCTATGCCATTAAAAAATACCTGACAAATGTAGACTTTTCTTTGTCGGATTTTTCTTTTAGCAATGATTTTAACGACTGCCTGCTCTGGGATACTGAAATATTTGAAACGGTCGCTGCAGAGGTACTCGGAACGGAATCCGGATCAATTTCAGAAGAGTCCTGTTCTTGCCTAAAGGAAAAAATATATAAAAAACTATTTTTGATCTTTCGCAAATACTCACTGCTTTTTTTTATTATCTGCAGCTTCGGTGTCCTCTTGTATCATAATCTGCAAAATTTGATTCGCCCTATTCTCGTCAAAATTAACACTCTCAAGGGCCATAGATATCAAATGCTCAGGTACATCTTTATACTTTTCCTGTAGATTCGTTTTAACTAAAACAAAACGTTACGTACAAGACAAAAAAATTGAATATATATATCTTACTCTGCTGCTTTTCTTCCGTTGATTTGATTTTCAGTAGAGGACTTGGTGGTTTCTCTTTTGTCTCTTCTTCTTCTTTTTGTTTCTCCTGTTTTTTAGCCTCCATCTTCTGTTGTGCCACCTTGACAGTATCTTTTTTAGCGTAGCCCATTTCTTTGAGGACATCGGAAACCTTCTGAATGTTGTGTTCATTATTCTGCAGAATTTCTAAGATAAGAGTTTCATCGGCTTCCGGGAAAATTGACTTCATGTACCTGGAACTATTTTCTGTGAGATAATGATTTAAAATATACATATTTTAAATAATATAAACCCCATCGACAACAGTTTATAAGCAAAATAGGTTATAATGTATACATATTCTACAAAATAAAAATATTCAGATTAATACACAAATTAAATAAAAAAAATATCATGCGATGACGGGTAGGCAGCTAAAAAAAAATATATATTATTTATCTATCTTTCATCTAAAATTAAAGATGTATATTTTATAAAATGGTTCCTTTGTAATTGCAATATAAATTAAGTAGGTACATAGTGTGGAATTTGAACAGTTTATAAAATATACTGAGTCTTTAGACAGAAAGTCTGGACCTTAATTTCAATTTAGGCGATGAATGTGGCCGAGGAGAGCTGCGGAAGCCATCCCCAATTCTTGGAGAACCTGTATAAGTGCTGTTAGTACCCGATCCGGGTCGAAATATCGGACTACCCCCCCTGGAGTTAGCATAAAACCCTAGGGGTGGAGTCATATGCAAAGAAGCATGTACCCCGGGGTGATGTATATTTCTTTGCGGTGGGGGGGTTGCAAATGGACCTGGCGTTGTGATGGGATTTTTTTCCACTTTCAAAGCACTTATTACAAGAGCTTCGCGATTGTGATACCTAGAAATGTTAGAAAGCAATGAGTGAATAAAGTGTTAATTGGAGCGGATGCTAAATGACACTGAAACTTGTTAGAAATAAGCTGATAATAATAAGGCTTTATATACAAAGCTTAATATTAAACGAGAAATAAGAATATTGTTACAGAGTAATTTTTAAGCTTGATTCAATAGTGTTACATGTTTTATAAAACATGTATAAAATAAATTAAATAAATATTTTTTTTTTACTTCATCTTCAATGATATACCTGTTTATTAAATTTAAAAACTATTAAATTTTATATAGCCTTTTTATTTTAATTTAAATAAATAAACTATGAACTGACGGAAAAATGCAGAAATTTTTCAAATTTGCAGTATTCTTGTCTTTAATTATAAAAGTATTTCACCCTGATATATTCATTTTCAAGGAGCAAAAAAGAGGACAGATTAGTAACTTACTTTTTCAGAAGCAGTCTGATATGGGTATCAGATACGGTTGGAAACATTGCAGAAATTTTTGAAACTGCTTCATCAGTATCTGTTAATGCTGTCAAAGAACTATCTTGAACTTTAGATGTTCTCAATGTCAGTGGACTCATTCGCGGCTTTATATCCTTAAAAATGTTCAATATTATCATCGTTTAATTACAGGACAAGAGAATTCATTCAATTTTAAACACTGTCCACAGTTTTAGGGGAGTTTAGATTATCTGTAACCAAGGGGCAGCAAAGTTGACGCTATCAGATCTCACAATACATACCACAGAGAGGTAATTTGTTAATTAAACTGTTATAATAGAAAAGGGTATTAAAAAGAATAAATGCAATAACTAGTTTGTTAGATTTAAGGTATCGACTGCGATATTCCCTGGACAATGTTAAAATTTGTGGGATAGAGGTTGCCTTGAAGGTGATTATTTCGTAGAATTATTTTAAAGAGGTACCTGTAGAGGAACACTTTTAGGGCTCATACGTGCTGGCATTTGAAATGCTGGAATAGGAGGGGGCTGACTAGGGTAGACATAATTCCTTCGTAAATCTGGTGATCCGTGCTATTTTTTGAAGAAAAATCCACAGCAGCATGTGTTTAAGGTAAAGTCCAATTAATGTAAAGACATGCGTTGTTTTAAAATTTAAAGGATTAAATTACCTGCAAGGGTATATACTCCGACTGCATATTTGTTAAATGTTTTGGCCCCCCATGAATAGACTTAAGACGAAGCCTTGGATCTTCCCAAGTAGTTGTCTGTGTGTAGTGGTTAATATAGTAGCTATAAAAGTAGAAAATTAGATACAATATATAATTGTAACATTTCAACTTACTATTTTCCACTACATTCGTCTATTCTGTAGTCCCACCCTGGAGGTAAGGTTTGTAAATTAGCCATATTTAAAGGTCAGTGGAGCTGCGAAAATATAATTAAAATTATTTAAAAACACTATAAATATGTCTTTCAAAAGTAACACGAACCTGCAATTATTGATTTGTTTGTCAACAGAACAGTCCTCTGTCAACTGTCACTGTCAAATACCGCATAGAGTATAGAGTTAACATGGAGTTAATGTGGAGTTAACTGACAACTGTCAAATGACCATAAACACAAAAGCTTTTTTTCGCGAGTGTAGTGGTATGTTGTAGTATTCCTAGATTCGAGAAGTATAGGAGTATCTGTAGTTTGAGTCTGTGAGTGAATGAAGAGATATAAAGTACCATATGACAACTAAGATCAAAAGAGATAGAAATAGTAACTACAAGTCAGATAGATATTCACCAATATTCAATCGCGAAAAACAGCTTATAGATGTCATAGATAAAAAGGAGTTTAATTTTTGTCAAATCTCTTGTGCGGCAGCAGCATTTGATTCTGCGCATATCATTACAAAAATATATCGCGTGGAAAACGCACAATGCAACATGGGCCATATTAGGGTATTATATATACAAATTTGTTGTTGTGGTACACATATATTTCTGACTTCACAGTTCACACTTGTGAACGTCACTTCCGGTAGATTCGTTACCGATCTTCCCCGTGGTCTAAAAACAAAAATCCCAGGCGTTGTTTAGACGCCATTCTACTGTTTTAGTAATTTTCAAATTTTTGGTAATATTTGGTGTTAGCCCTAGAAATGGAATCGGAAGAAGTTGAACAAGTTGTGGATGAGGAATCACACGATTCCGAAATAAATGTAATTCCTGTGCAGTTAGTGGAATCTTATGATGTTACGCTCACTTCGCCATCAAACAGTTCAAATATTTCTAGGGGAAAATATTACAAGCAAACATATCGCCCGGCATGGGAGCAAATGCCTGATTTCAAAGGTAAGTTTTGTAGAAATGTTTACTATTAATAATTTATACGAAATTTATAATTTAGGCTGGCTTAGAGGAGTTGAAGGGGAACCAACAAGGGCTTACTGCACATATTGCCAGAAAACTCTACATGCTCATCGTTTAAGTTTATTAAAACATACTTGTACTATTCGGCATCAAAAGGCAGCTCAGTTACATAGCAACAGGAAAGTAGGTCTACTAATTATGCATTAAATTTTTTCATTTATACATTTATTCTAAGATATTGTCTTTCATTCATTGCTGTAACCAAAATTATTTTTTGCTTTATTTACACAATTGAGGTTATGTTTAACTTTGTTTTATATTTTTTATGAATAGTATATTTGTACAAATTGAAACATTTTTTTTCAAAATTCTAAAAAAGGTACTTATAGACGGTCACCGATATTGTTTTACATTTCAGAATAAAGTACAAAACCAAAATTCACACATGGATTCACAAGAGATGCAGGTCATAATAAACGAGGGAACAATAGCTCAAGATGACTTAGATGAGGACGGGGAAACTCATACCGTGGAATATGTGGATGCAGGTGATATAGAAGATGGCGATGTTGAAAATGACAATGAAGATGAGGAGGATGGTGAGCCAGTTCCAATGGAGTTTCATAGGGTTCAGTTCCAGAAGGTAGGGAGATTTGGATATTGCCATTGCTGGTGCTACTTCTGTTGTCATTAGTTAAAAATAATGTTTAATTATACATTTTTCATATAATTTTTTACGTTTATTACACCATTATAAGGGTTTAGGTAACAAATTGCCTGTTTTTGTGGCATGCGGTCTTTCAGGCCATTTCAGAATGTTGCAGCATATTTAAAACAGGTCGATCTGCATCACAATTTCTCATAATGTTAAAATTAACTTTTTATACCCGTGATCTTTGTTTTATATTCTTACACTCTTCTCTACTGTATGCTGGTTCAAATACAACCTAATCACCATTTCAAAAATATTCACTAATTTAACATAAAAAATAATTTTATCAAATCTTACCGTGTTGAAATTTCTGTTACCATTTTTAACGATAGCAGCAACAACAACAGCAGCAGCAGCAAAATCAGATACTGGAGAAGCCTCCGATTTCTACTCACGTAATTGACATGACAAGAGGACAACCCATCACCGGATTGCAAGTCAGCCTTTATAAATTGATCGATGGACGGTGGACGTACATTAACGAGGGTGTTACAAATTCTAGTGGTATGTTCTCGCAGTTTCTGGATAGATCAGATTTTACTCCGGGAAGGTACAAGTTGCACTATGACGTCGACCGTTATTTCGAGGCGAGGAAGCAAGATACTCTTTATCCCTTTATAGAGGTAAGATATGTTCCTTAAAGGAAAGTTAAAAAAGCTTGATGTCCGGTATATTAAAAATTAAGTATGGACCTGTGTCAATAGAAACTTTTTGACTTATTTTTGGATGAGGAATGTCTACGTGAGCAAGCTTTTTTGGACAGCCTATGTATAACAAATGTTTAATTTGGAAATTGTAAATAATAACATGAATTTGCTTCATTTACAGATAGTCTTTGACAGTTCTTTATACACAGAAACGTACCATATTCCCATGTTACTGAGTCCTTATGGGTACACTACTTATCGAGGATCTTAATGTAAATTTAAGTATTTTAGATATTTTAGCTATTTGTCTGCATCTGTTAGGAAATTATTTCACTTTTTGTAATGTTTAGTTAAGATCGTTATTGTTTACCTTTACTGTACACCGATGTGTGTGTATATATAATTGCTAAGGTATACTTTGTATCTTGTCGGAAGTAAATTTTTATAAAATATTGGTTTGCGTTATTCAGTGTTCCCAGTTCTTTATAAATTGATTTTAATTAACGAGACGGGAAATCAAGGAATTGTGTTGGTTTCAGAATAAAAAAAAATGTAAAAATATTAAATGCTTTAATTAAATAATCACAAATAAAATAGTAAATAAAGAAGTATTAACTATAATTTTTCATAAAAGTATTTAAAATAATTAAAAGTATTTTATATCTACAGGGTGTCTCGCTTAAAAGTGGAACAAATATGTAACTTGTGTACCATTCGACCAATTTGAATAAACTTTTTTTGTCCATCTCCATCTATCTATCTCTAAAATTCGAAGACGTTGCACACTACGATGCAATTTATATGGCTAAACGCCAGAAAATCAGGGATTTTTTTACCCATATAAATCACATCCTAGTTTGCCATAGTTTCGAATTTCAGACAACACGAGGTACGTACAGATTTTTTGAAGGTGTACCCAACAAAAAAAAAATATTCAAATACATGGAGTGGTAGACGAGTTACAGGCTTGATTCACTTTTAAGCGAGACACTCTGTATATTAATTTTTGATTAGTGGTTGTCAGTAGCAGCTGGCGAAAATGAAAGGGGTTATATTTTGATGGTGACGTGGGACCCATACCATTTTTAGATCATTTCTGGGCCTACAAAGAGAACTTTCGTGACGAAAAATTGTACAATTCATTTTTCTTATTTTGTCTCGTAGTACAAAAACCATAGTTGTTTATAAAAATAAAACATTACTGCCATTGATTTTATGAGTTGGGCTATCTTGTTTAATAAAATTTCAGGTTCAGTTTATAATTTGAAATTAGAGCAGTTGATTGGTTGCATTTAAACTAATGTAGTAAATTAGCCAATCAGCTGAGCTGATATAATTATAACAAAATTATTAGCGAAGGGACCGTAGGTAGTAGGTACGCCAATGATGGTGGTAACGGTAACAAAACTTTGTGGAGTGCTCAGGGTGCTGTCAGCTACGTTAAGTAAAAAAAAAATTAGGAAACAATAGTTGCTTTCCAATTGACTACGAACTGTTCCTGAAGTGTTATATTATTCTACTCGCGTTCTACTCTTTCGATACTCTAAGCTCTATACTTAAACAATTCGAATACTTCAAAGAGAAACATAAGCATACAAATATTTTTCAAGTACTTGTTTTTATTATTGTCCCAGAGCCAGATATAAATTTTACTTAATAAAGCATAATCAAGAACACAATTAACAAAATAAAATAATCTTATTTATGAAACGTATTCAGAAATTCTAACCTTACATTTCGCGAAAATAGTTTGATAGTACCTATTAACACTTTTGTAAAAAGTAGTATCTGAGAATCTGAGGGGCAAGGCAAAACAAACAAGAACACTTTAGGAGCAAAATGCTATAGCTTACTGAAACTCAAAAAGCTAATCTGAAATGTTCCGGAAGTATTTTTTCAATTGCTAATAATATGTATATGTATATTCAGAAACCTCAAACTAGTGACTTAAGACGTTTTTTGAGAAAATTACTACATAAACGATATTGTGTTGATAATCTACAAGAATCTGGTAAAAAATGTAGGGTTTATTAAAGAAAACATGCCATAACGCTATTACGAGCAAATAAAGTAAGAAGAGGCGGAGTTTGATGATAAATCGACTTTAAACTGCAAAATCGATGCGGTCGTGGAAATATCAAGAAATTTAATCGTTTTGGAAATTTTAAATAATTTTTTTCTACACTATTTGCTTTGTGGAACGTACTTTTCACACATTCTTCCAGGTAGGACGGTGCTGCCATTTGACGTAGTGGCGAAACTTTCAAGTAGTAGAAAATGGCGTTTCGTGACTTTTAGCACATGCCAATTTTCTCCGGTAAGAAAGAATATTATTCAGTATATTTTTTAATTAAAGTTTTATCATATTCACGATTCTGAAGGCGATTGTTTACATTTCATCATAATATATTATTTGGTTTTAGATCTAGAATACAACTAACTATTTTAAATTAATGACGTAAACATACTATTGCAAATATTTTGTGCTGTCATGTATATAAAAAAAATTATTTCGTAAAATAATGTCTTGTGATGAAAGTTATAAAACAATTTATATTTATTATAGTTGATTTGCTTTAATTTAGCTTCACGGGACATTTTTTTACATTCCAGCTCATATCTATGTATCCTTTATAGGACCAGCAAAAGGTTTTTTGGCTCATAGGATTTAAGGAAAATTGTACAAGATTTGCTTAATAACAGAATCGGTAAGTAGAAAATAGTCATATATGGTGGTTAACAAGTATGTTCAGTTGTTTGTAGACTTTATTTGCTTGCCTACAGGTTTCTAAATATATCTTTTGGATATCTTCCAAATGTTTCTTTTAAATGTTCGGTATGATCATTTTAGCTTACAGATAATGCAAATAAAAATACAATGTATCAATGAAAACATGAATGTAGACCACAAATAAATTCTGGTTATTCTTCTATATAAAATGGCGGCTTATTTGTTCATGCTTTGTACAACGAGCGCTAAACAAATTGAGGTTATTCTGTTTGTTACTGGTATGAAACTATTTCTAGTCCATTTATTTGGTGATATTAATAGCACGTGGCATATATTAATCACATATTCTTTTGCTGTACCAGAAAAGAGTTCAAAAACTATTTCATGGATAGGTGCCGTTTTCTATTTATGTTTTTCTAGTGCAGTTATGATTAGGTATTTTAAATTATTTATGGTTACTCAGTTAATTATATTGACTCTATAACAACGTGCATTATAGGTTTTTTTTTTCTCTTACAAAATTCTAGTTACAGTCTACATGTTTTACAGATGTATAAATAGTTGTCAATTATTATAGTTTATTCTAGGTCTGTTCCAACAAGAGTCAGGGATTGGTTCCGAACCGTTCTAGTTGTGTCTTCACTGAATATATAGCAAGAATTAGTTGGATGCACATTTCGAATGGTACGGAACCAATTTCTGACCCATGTTGGAACAAACCTTCTATCTTTGTCGTATTTGAAAGTTTAGTAAAATTTATTACAAATTTTTATTTGTTTTTAATAATCCTTGGAATATTTCCTGTTACCTTTTTTACCAGTTTTACCATTTACCATTTTTTTTTTTTCATAGTTTAATAATATAGATCTGCTTTACAGATAAAATCTATGAATAATATTTTTCTTACTTCATCTTGTATTTACTAATATGCTGAATTTTCACCTAAACTATTATAAATTTCGAAGCCTCTATCGTACGTCACAAGCCTAGATAAAGATGAAATTTATGATATACAAGGTTTAGATTATGTCAGTTGTTATGCCTATGCGTCTATTGAATATTGAATTTATAAAGTTTAGTGCAAAGTATCAGAGGTAATTTACTGTGTTTCATTTTAAAAAACGGTTAAATAAAAGTAAAATTTTTTTATCATTTTCAATTTTATGCTTAATTATTTGATATTTTTGCGTTTTATAAATTGGATTGGTTTTTTTTTGCTACCAGCAATGCAATTTAGTTATTGCTCCATATGACAGACACCTCAGCAGTAATGTATTTAATTTTTTTACTGAATATTTGCAGAATTTGTAACGTAAATATCTGGATTTGTAATAAAAAATAGAGAATCGGCTGTTGCTGTCGTGTGGATGTGTCGATATTTTATTATATCATTTTTTAAATAGTTATTGTATTAATTAAGCAATTACAATGTTTGTTACAAGGAAATGGTATGCCTGCACGATGAGGGTCACTTGAGGGTGACTGTCCGAGATACCATATTGCATTCAGCAAAGAAACAGTCGTATGTTCTTCTGACCCCAACAAAAACCATCGAAAGTATCTTTAAGGAGATCTCTAGGGAATTTGAATACAATGCTGATGAAATTGAACTTGTGTTGCAGAAAAGGGATGGCACTACCGTAAGTAAAACATTTATTCTAGACACAAGTTGATTAAATAATCTTAAACTTGAAACTTAAAATAATTCTAATTATTTATCGTAATAAAAACTGTTGCTACAAGACAAAAAAAATCAATATGTAATACTGATTTTTTTGTATGTAATACTGATGCTTCTTTATGTAATAGAGCAATGTCTTAATCATTCTAATCTAGATTCTTCGCTTATCGTGGTCAATTTTTTCTCGATAATAATAATTTTTTGTTTTATGTGTAAAAAAAGTAATACAGATTAGTTCTGATTTAATGAAATTAATTTATAAAATTGGATTGATTATTAAATCTTGATTATTTAGTTTTTAAATCTATTTTTACTAAATTCTGGCAAATATTTTTAAATTTGGAAGCAGTGGTATTTTTAAATGGAGCACCTTGTGCATTTTTACAGACATATTTAGATAGAATACCTCAGAATATGATGCCATAAATATAATATGTTGTTAGACAGACTTTGTGGCCTAAGAACTATCTATCCGTTTTTAACGCAATGAGCTTTTAATATTATGGGTTTTGGGAATTGATACCTTTGTTATATAGTAAAACGATTAAAAATTCAGTCATAAATTATTATTATTATATTACAGTATTTTCTATCTCTTGTAAATAATTTTATAAAACATCCTTATGGGAAGGCTAGTTGAATTAAATGAATTTGTTTCAAATGTGTTTTAATATTGTTTCTGAAATAATTTCCTGAATGGGGATCATTGTTTTTAATATTTTCTAATGACTCATTCTTTTAAACAAATACCAAGATAAGAAACTCAGTTATAGCTTATCAATCATTTTATGCTTGGAAGATGCCAGTATCAAATCAATTATTGGTAAATGTTATGCCATAGGCTTGGCGTGAAGAATAGTTTTATACCAATAAAATGTGTGGTAATCATTTAAGGGTAAGGGATAATTAAATTAAGAGACCTTTTATAAAAATAATCAAAGTTTTATAATAAGAAAAACAATAGATGTATTCGGTATATTAAAAATGTGTTTGTTAATTTTTTTTATATCAAATACATACTACCTTTTCGTGAACATTTTCAGTATATGACCTAAATTAATTTTATTTCCATTTTTATATGAAAACAGATAAAACACTTACGGAATAGTTGTACTACTAGCTGCATTGAAGTATATATTTTCCATGAATCTTTGATTTTTAAGTACCCAGTGTGATCAATTTTCTTTTTTCAGTATGTTTTGAACGATCATAAAGATAAGACGGTTCAGGAAGCAGATATATCGTGGAGCCCGTCTGAACGCTTGTCCATCATAATAAATCAGGTAAAGAACAAAACCATGTCTTTGTATGTTCACGATGTCGCCGAAGACGATCTGCTTCTTGGTGCCTCAGCCAGCCCCACCACCGGAGAAATGCCTAGTTGCACATATTACACAACACCTGTTAGAATGAGCGAATTCGAACCAAATTACCCAACATCGTCTCACTCGCAACTAAGACCAACGATTGTGGAGTCAACAAACTACGTGGGGCTAGTCAATCAAGCGATGACGTGTTACCTTAACAGCTTGCTGCAAGCGCTCTTTATGACTCCGGAATTCCGAAATGCCCTGTACAACTGGGAATTTGACGGCCTCAACGAGACACGCTCCATCCCGTACCAATTGCAAAAGTTGTTCTTGAATTTGCAGACTTCTTCGAAGTCTGCCGTGGAGACTACAGATTTAACGACCAGCTTCGGCTGGCAAGGCAGCGACGCCTGGCACCAACACGATATCCAAGAACTTTGCAGGGTTATGTTCGATGCGTTGGAACAGAAATTCAAGGACACGAAGCAGGCTAACCTCATCAACGATCTCTACGAGGGTAAAATGTTGGATTATGTCAAATGCTTGGATTGTGGGACGGAGAAGTCCCGCGAGGACACGTTTCTGGATATCCCTTTACCAGTCAGGCCTTTCGGTAGTACAGTGGCTTATAATAGCGTAGAAGAAGCCTTAAGGGCCTTTGTGCAGCCCGAAACTTTAGATGGTAACAATCAATATCACTGTGAGAAATGTAACAAAAAATGTGATGCACACAAAGGACTGAAATTTACAAAGTTCCCGTATTTGCTTACGTTGCATTTAAAACGGTTTGATTTCGATTACAACACGATGCATAGGATTAAACTTAATGATAAGTAAGTATATAACTTTAAATATTACATGTGTTTATGCGAAAACTTTTCATCGCAAATTTTTTTGGAATATATTAAATAGAAAAGTGGATTAAATTCTGTTTTAAAAGTTAAATATAAAAAGGAGGTTAATGGGTACTGCTATTTAGGACGGAAATGTGTCGAAGAGTTTTTAAATGAACACTTGGCAAAGAAATATATTTTCTTTATTTCATACAATATTATTGGCAATGGTTTTTAAAACAATTCTATCCAGTTAAAAATATTTTTCTTTCTGCAATTATTTTAATTTTATTATTAATGTGAAGTGAAATAAGTATATTATATGTGAAATTATTTCTTTTTTCATTTTTAGGGTCGTTTTCCCAGAAAAATTGAATTTAAACTCATTTATAACATCTAGTTCATCAGTAAACGAGCCGATGGAAGAAAGGGAACACGCCGTAAAATGTGATGATTGTAGCACCACTGATTCGGGTTCGGCGGATGATGAAAGTTGTCAAGGAACAGATGTGTCTTCCACAGTGAACGGCCAAGATGATAACTGTGTCGACAGTGACGAAGGTAAGAGTAGGTATTACTTTAAAGAATATTAAATTCAATAATTTATCTTGCTTTATACCGTATTTTGAGACTTTAACGTTTTACCTTAAGGAGGTTTATTGGGTACGAGGGGAACGTCTAAAGTCCAACGAGAGTTTCTGTAGATTCGCTGCTGACCAAAATATTAAGCCTTTAGATTTGGCAACGTTGCAACGTTGCTGGCGCGCTCGGCTCAGCTTTCACTTGCCTAAGCTTGAAATATACATCATATGCCACACCTGCGAATTTCAAATAATATGCTACGTCGAGAACCACGGCATTGCCGCTATCACGCATATGGAGGTTAAGTTAGTCAACGATAGCAGTTTGAAGGAGAATTTCTATAAATTATGTATCGTACAAGTACTAATCGATTTCTACGAGCTGTCACACCGTTCCTAGATATCAGTTTCCTATTTATACAAGTTGCTGTGGGAACTGTTCCTCAATTGTTGCGCATTCTAAGTGGAAAGACCAAAAAAATCTGCATTCTCATAAGACTTTGTACTAAAGCGTGAAAATTTATTTTAAAATTAAATTTTAATCTATTTGATATGTCTGTATTGGCGAGATATTTTAGTAAGGATATGGGTGACAGGTCAGGGTTATAAAAAATGGAGCGTTACACGAAATAGCAATGCGTTTTCATTATCGAGCAATGTTTTAAAAATAATAAATGCTTGGCAGCTACAGTTCGCCATTTTCATACAAAATGACGTGTAATTTTAAACACTGACCGTTCTTCGACAAGTCGTTCAACACAAAACATCACAGCAGTTCGTGAAAGTCCAGATACGTCAATTCGGCACCGCCGACATTTCGAGAAGCTCTCTACAACGTTTTCTCACTAAAGATTTGCAACTTCCTGCTTACAAAATTCAGTTGACTCGAGAACTGACTGCGCAGAGCGAAGTTGTAACTGATTTACTTTTTTGATTGATTTTCTTCTTGTTACTGATTTTTTGTCGTTATTAAAAATAAGTTGCAATTCCTAGCATAAAAATTAAAATTAAACAGGTTCATTACATCGTTTTACGTCAGATAATGTAAAGAATCTTTCTCTTTATAATTGGGGCGAGTTTAATTATCCTCCATTTTTGAAGTCCTATTTAATTCGTTTAACTCTATTCATTCGTGATTAATTAATGTGTCACATCGAGAGTTCTGATAGAAATTCGAACTAAACTGTTTCTATTTCAAATTTCAATCCGCTTGCATCAAATTTGCTTTTGCTTAGTTAGAAAGCTCGAGATAAGCCTACTCTTATTATTTCCAGGTATAGATGTGAGTTCCGGAAATAACCATCACGAGGAAGAAGCCAAGGGACCTTACGTATACGAACTGTTCAGCATCATGATCCACTCAGGGAGCGCATCCGGGGGCCATTATTATGCCTACATCAAAGATTTCGATAAGAATATGTGGTATTGCTTTAACGACCAGAGCGTCAGCGGGATTACCGAAGATGACATACGCAAGACTTACGGGGGCGGCCCACAGAGAGGTTACTATTCGGGGGCCTACAGTTCCAGTACGAACGCCTACATGTTGATGTACCGCCAGGTGGACAAGGATCGAAATTGTCGGGCGATAACCGTGGATCAGTTCCCGCCGCACATTCAGAAGTTACTCCAGGACATGCGTAGGAAGGAGGAAGAGGATCGGATCACTAGAGAAAAGGAGAACGACATGATTAAGATTAACGTGTACTGCCACCATCCCGGTAGCAACACGCTTCAGGACGTTAAGATATCCGTGTTCAGCGACTCTACTCTGGCGGAAGCCGTGCAGTACGCTCACCAGCGATTTAAGCTTGAATCGTACGTGGACGTGGAGGATTGCAGGATTGTCATATATAACAAGAAACTCGATTGCGTCGACTGCAATTTTGATTCTAACGAATTGAAATTGTGCGACATCATCCACAGGATTAATCAGATAATTATTTACGATTGGTTGCTGGAGATAAAGGAACCTGGTGAGTAAACATTTACTCGTAATTAGAATGGTAAATTATATCTGTTATGTCGGAAACGGAAACAAATTTTATCAATTTTGTTTCGGAACGAAAGTAGTTCAAACGAACCCTCTAACAAATCTTAGTAAACCATGAGAATAAATCAGTATTTTTTAACAGGACATTATTCTTTTTAGGTACTGACTTTCCAAACTATAAACCGGGCGGCATAAACATGAAAGTGTACCCAATCAACTTGGAAACAGAAGAAGTAGAAGAGCCTAGGCTAGTCCGTGTAGATATCGACGATACCGTGAGAATCCTCAAATCGAAGCTCTCGTCTGTATTCAGCATGGAAGTGGATAGTATTAAAGTTGTATTAGAAACGAGCGGCAACGATCTGAAATACCTGGAGTGCGACGACACTGTTGTCAAGTTCGACGCGACTAGCAGGGAACAAAAATTGTACATTTCCAATTCCATTGACGATGATCCCGACAAGAGCTTTCAGACTTCGAAGTTGAAAAGAGTTATTGAACACTTTGGTTACATAATTACCGTGAACGTAGTTTTACCAGAAACCGATGTCGGTAAGAGTCAATATTTTTTTATATTTTTACATTTTTGTTGTAATTAATATTTTATTTTAGCAACGTTAGAGTCTTTGTCTATACCGTCGTTGGATTTGAACCAAAACTTGGACAAGTTGGATTTAGCCTGTGGTGACCGGGGATCAAATTCGCCGGGTTTAAGAGTTTCTCCGCAACCTTGCCAGGGCGACGGTTTTGGAGATCAGAGCAACAGCGAGGATAGCAGTTTAAGCGACAGTGATCGAACGTTGGTGGGAGAAGCTCCAGGTAACGGCATTTAGTGGAACCTGCTGAATTTTTTGATAGATCCTACTAATTTGTGTTTCTTTAAGTCGTTTTGTGAGCAACCGATACACAATACAATTATTTATAATTCTGTGAACACAAACGTAGAAAAATAATTAATAACGGGCTTCTTCCCATTTTCAGGGGAATGTCCGGCTTTGCTTTCGAGCAGCTCCAATTCGCCCGCCGACCAACACATGTCCTCGCCCACCGATCCCTGTGAGGACTCGTATAACTATGCCGCACTAGGCCACCCGGGCGAGGAGATGATCTGGGACGACGAGGTGACCCAGCACGAAGCGCAGCAGCACTTTACGAATTACTTTTTCAAAGTTACCAGTATAGTTCACAACAGTGATTCCAACTCAACGGACAATAATTACTCAAGGTGTTGTAAAATATTGGTAGACAACAGGATGACCTTGGAGAGGTTCAAGAGGCACCTGGAGGTGATCCTGAGGATACCTTCAAGGTATTTCAAGATTTTCAAGCAGTACCCTAACTCGGATGACGAATGGAGCTGCTTGACGGACACTTTGAGACTGACAAAGGATGGGGACAGGTCAGTGACGATAACTAATAGGAAAATGTCCGTTGTTTATTGAAAATTTTGAAAATTATTTGTTGAGTTCCTTTTTAAATATCGTTGAGAAAAATACACAGTCCTTAAGAGGGCTTTGTAGCAAATAGGCAACCAGCAATACATTTTTATAGATTTTGTTTCACAGTTTGTCTAAATTTGAATCAATGTACAAATAACAGACTTTCCCCCATTTTAACGCATATTTTCTATAGAATGGAATTAGTTTGAAACTCAAATAATTTTTTGTTGTAAAGAAATTTGTAATTTACGATCAAAAGTGGCAAATTACAAATTTTTCTACAACAAAAAGTAATTTGAGTTTTAAACGAACTCCATTTTATTGAAAATCTGCGTTACAATGGAGGAATTAAGTCACATCAGACTATCGAATGAAAAATGTTTAACTGATTTATTATTAATAGGGCTCTATAGCAAATAGGCAACCAGCAATACATTTTTATAGATTTTATTACACAGTTTGTCTAAATATGAATTAATGCAGAAAAAACAGACTTTCCTCCATGCTAACGCAGATTTCCTATAAAATGAAGTCAGTTTGAAGCTCAAATTACTTTTTGTTTTAAAGAAATTTGTAATTTGCCGCTTTTGAACAAGTAAATTACAAATTTCTTTACACCAAAAATTAATATGAGTTTCAAACTAAATCCATTTTACAGAAAAGCTGCTTTAGAATGGAGGAAAGTCTGTTATTTGAGCAGTAATTCATATTTAGACAAACTGTGTAATAAAATCTATAAAAACGTATTGCTGGTTGCCTAGTTGCTATAGAGCTCTGTTTAAAAAGACATGTACAACATAAGAACAGATTTCTTGGTTCAAAATAAGTTAATTAAGGCTGACTTCTTAGTTGGTATGCATCTACATTTATTCAAAAGCAATATACTGCTAGAATGTGTAAGAAAATAATCTTACGGTGCTATATTTTTGGACCTTCATTCCATAACTTTTTATATGATAAAATAAATTGTAATTTTAAATATGAAACTCATTTTTGTCAAAATTTGGTGTCTGTTAAGGATTTTCAGTAAAATCTCGAGCCCTAGGAGTATACAGGGCGTTCCAGAATTTTGTTTCTATTTGAAGAAATGACCGTAAACTTAAGAGAGCCCTATAGCAATTAGGCAATCAGCAATACATTTTATAGTTTTTCTTACAGTTTGTCTAAATATGAATTAATGCACAAATAACAGACTTTCCTCCATTCTAAAGCAGATTTTCTCTAAAATGGATTTAGTTTGAAACTCATATTAATTTTTGGTGTAAAGAAATTTGTAATTTACTTGTTCAAAAGCGGCAAATTACAAATTTCTTTAAAACAAAAAGTAATTTGAGTTTCAAACTTACTTCATTTTATAGAAAATCTGCGTTAGCATGGAGGAAAGTCTGTTATTTCTGTATTAATTCATATTTAGACAAACTGTGTAATAAAATCTATAAAAATGTATTGCTGGTTGCCTATTTGCTATAGAGCCCTATTAATAATAAATCAGTTAAACATTTTTCATTCGATAGTCTGATGTGACTTAATTCAGGGCCCTTTAAAGATCCCAAGTTTAATCTTTTTTTTATAAGTTTAAAATTCTCAAGTGTTTTTTGTTTCCGTTAAAAATTAAAAAATTTTTCTAAGAATTATGGGGAGTTATAAATTATTAAAGCCTGAGAAATAGCTATTTCAAAGGGTTGAATAAAGAAAACTACATTGACAGATTTCCCATCATTTTTTTTACATATTTGGAAAATTACCCGTTGCTGAATGATACAAATTTATTTACTTGGAGTGATATAAATGGAAACAATTATCATGATCCCAATATTGTGTTTAAGGGGTTACACCACTGTAATGGCCTAAAAAAATGTTTTTAACATTTTTTTTTTATTAGAATGAAAGGTAATAGAAAAAAGTGTTTAAGTATGTTATTAGGCATGTATTTAAGTGTACAGAACAATTTTTTCATTAAAAAATATTTCAAAATGGCGGCATTGGAGCCATTCTCCTGAAGCATGTTGCCATCGAGGGCGTTCCGCGGCACGCACTCGGACTAGTGCAAATTTCAAGATGGAACAAAAAAAATTTGCTCTTAATCCACATGAGTATAGCTAGAGAAAGAGGTACGGGATTGTAAAAATATTGTTTTTTGTAAAATTGGCAAGTGTTTAAAGTAAAACGTTAAATTTTTGACAAAAAAAATTTGTTTATAACAGTTGTTTAAATTAACTTATCGAAAAATATATACGTGTTTCTCTTCAAAATGTTATTTTAAATATTGGTTAAAATTTCAAAAGAAAATATTGAAAATTGTTGGGGTTATGGTGCGAACCGTTTTGAAAAAGCGTATTTTGAGAAAAACACGTTTAAAGTTTTAAAATGAGTTTTAGACATGAAAAAATAAAAAATTCGACTGTTTTAAATTTTAATTGAATTGTACACGCATATTCCCTAAAGACTCTATGACTGTGTTAGAGAAGTTACAAATCAATAGATAAGAAGGTACACGGTACCTTCCGAGCAAGTATGTTCATAGCGCAGGTAGCCGTATGAGAGACGCCCGACACGCTTCAGGAAAAGCGCAAAGTTAAACAAAAAAAAATATGTTTTTCATGTATAAAACCTTTTGCCTCATATTCTAGAAGGTTCCGACTACCTTTTAAGCCCTTGAGGTTTATAAATTAGGATTCAGTGTTTATATCCACCCAGTAATTTTTTGTGTCAAGTATCTTCCTTGTTAGGAAGGTCTCAGTCGCTGCAAATGTATATTTGCTTTGTGAGATTTTATTGGAAACTTTATTTTTTGAAGATAGTCCATCTTTTTTTCCAGTACGAGACATTTTCTACTTGCTAGTAAAAACATAAAAAATTGATTGAATTCTTTGTTTGTCTCTGCCTCGCTATATTTTATATTTTGCATTATCCTGTATATTTGGTACCTAATGAAGTTTTATTTCAGGCTTATAGTGAAATTAGGCAGGGTGCTGAAGAAAGACGAAATAAAATGTGGTATATACCACTTGAAACCGGATTGCATGGATACAAACAACTTCTTATTTGAACATATCATAACGAAAGGGCAGACCGTGAAGTCCGTCAAGAAGGAAATTCTTTTACAAGCGAAGAAACAGCACATGTTAGATATCCCGTACAACAAGTGCCGATTGAGAGAGAAAGGTTGGAAGAAACCCAGAAAAGTCTATCTCGATGACCAAAAATTTGACAGGGATATCTTGGTCACGCCGAATTTTGATATGTTCCTGCAAGAACTCAACGAACCGGAGACGATCACATCAAAAGACCAGATAGTGTACTTCGTGAGGCAGTGGTGTCCGTCGACCTTGACTTTGAAGCCCTTCCAGGAGGTCGTCATGGAGAATCTGACTCTGGAGGAGCTCAAAACGAAGATATCGGAATTGTCGGGACTTCCTGTCGAATATGTGGACGTAGCGCACGTAAAAGCCACCTTCCCTTGTGATATGCACCTCTTAGGTATACATAACCAGCACGACTGGAACCCTAACATAACAAACCTGGACCAGTGGCCTATGCACGCCGACGAGCCGGGAAGCGTTTTCTTTTACAAGTGAGTAACGTGCTGTTATATTTTTTTGCAAGTACAGCAGGTATCGTTTATAACGACGTTGGAGGGACAGGTGGAATTTGGTCACCATAACCGTAGATACTCGTAAATAAATTAATTATAATAGAAAAGAACACGTGAAATGACAAATTCCAATACAAAGTCCGGTTGTTAAGTTTTAACGCAGATTTTATTGTGCACAGTGCGTGGCGCTATCTATGTGCCGTCAACGGAACTACGTAGTGAGACGCTTTCCGAGCAACCTAACAAATTTTTGTCTGTATACATGTACCTACCACAAAGTTATAACGTTTTGCGTGAAGCGAGTTTCTGATAGTTGTCGTGGAAACGCACATTGAACGGCGTACAGCAATCGAGTTCTGTAAAAAATCGGTAAAACAGCCACGGAAATGTATCACGTCCAGCTGCGTTCCTGTGGTTCGGGAGGTTTTGTGCCGGCCGAGGCAGCATGCACGATGACGAGACGAAGAGGTGTTCCGCACAAGCCAAAGGAACGAATTTCGTCGCAATAATCGATATGTTGTTATAAACGATATCTACTGTATTTGAAAGCGTAGTTTTTCTTTGTACTTAAACTTACAAACCATGTATTTGGCAGAGACAAAAGAGAGGTACCGAAGGAACTAACGCCCGAGGAGCATAAAGAGTTGTGCCAAAAAGAGAACGCTCGTCTGGGTAGGCCGAGTATAAAATCGTACTCTCCCGGCAGGGAGAGAGCCTTGAAGATTTACCTGGACACATCGCCCAGTAAATCGAATGAAAACTGTATAGACTGACAAGCCACAAAACAATACAACTCTTTATTTTACTGCATCATAAGTTAAATTATCTGAGGTCGATCGGTGAGGGTGCATGTTTTAGATAATTAATATCTCGTTTATTGGAACCTCGTGTCTTGTTAGTAAATGTTGAATTTTCATCGAAAGGGGACAAAATGGGTTTTTGAGTGGCGTCGGTTTGAGGCGAGAACACGAATTCGGTGCTTGAGTTGAAACGTGTAACTTTGAAGTTGAGAATCGAATGAACTCCAAGATCGATTAATTATTAACCGGTTGATTTTTCTTTGTTTACCACAACGAAAATTCATAAAACATAAATATATAAATTGTCGTATTGGCCTAAAAGTGAAAGTAATTGTATTTTAGATATATTTGATTTAGTAATTTTGCATATTTAAATAATACGAGAAAAAATTGATCAGTATTTACTATCAGTATGTAATTGTACCTTAATAAATTATTTCTTCGAGTGATTGTTAAATGTGGTTTGGAAACGGGGTTCTAATAAACGAGATAGACTTTTATGTACCTGTGTTAGAGAAATCTGAGCGATGCTGATTTAAAATGGTTGTCATAAGTTGTTGTTTGACGTTCTTCATACCAGAATACCGGGTATGCGTGTTGATATTTCATAAATTATACATTGTATTGTTTTTTTTTTATTAAATACTGTTCGTTACTGCATTGATAAATATTGTTTATGGTTTTAAAGTATGTTTCTGTCATTTTTACATTATCCTCTAGAATACCCTTACCATTTTGTATTTATTTTATATTTAAAATTATTCTAGCTTTACAGTGTTTAGTAATGCAATGGTATTTATGTACGGAGCGATGGTGGCGGCTTTGGTGTTTCTGAAATTTTTCTGTGGTCGATATCCGCGGATACGACTTCTCTTGTGCTCAGCGAAGTTGCATATACATTTATAAAATTTCTTGTACATTTTAAAGCACTTTTTCATAAAAAAACTATTGTCAAATTTGTTGCATCCTTAAGATATACGCGTTATTATTAAATTTGCCGATTGCCTTTTACCCCGACGCTCACTGTAATGCCATTGTTATCTCGATGGTCATTTTGTCCCTTATTCTGTACAGCAAACTGTTTCGTTTACTGGCATATATTCAAAAACCCCATTTTTATAATTTGGCAAAGTGGATTCCAGGCCTACCTTTGGCTTTTAATATCTACACGAACCTACTTCGCTGAAGGAGTTCACATTGCCAACGCTTGTCGTATACAGCTACTTTGTATAGATATTTATTTGTGACTGATCAATAAAAAGCTGTTTATCTATAGCTCCTTATTTTTGGATTATCCAGCTAGTGCGGAAAATATTCGGCTGTTGAAGTATGACTCTCGTGCTGGGTGTGCAAGTGTCGGTTGTTTCAATTTTTAAATAACGAATTGCCAGTCGTATCTTTGTAAATATGCCTGATGGACAGGTCATGTAGGGACGTTGAATAATTTTTGGCTGTTTTCCAATAGATGGCGTTATCAGAACTCCATGCATGTAGTTAAGAGGGCTCTATAGCAAATAGGCAACCAGCAATACGTTTTTATTGATTTTTTTACACAGTCTGTCTAAATGTGAATTTATGCACAAATAACAGACTTTCCTCCATTCTATAAAATGGAGTCAGTTTGAAACTCAAATTTCTTTTTGTTGTAAAGAAATTTGTAATTTGTATGGTAAATTACAAATATCTTTACACTAAAAAGTAATTTGAGTTTCGAACAAGTCAATTTTACAGAAAATCAGCGTTAAAATGGGGGAAAGTCTGTTATTTGTGCATTAATTCATGTTTAGATAAATTGTGTAATAAAATCTATAAAAATGTATTGCTGGTGGCCTATTTGCTATAGAGCCCTCCTAAGATAGTAATGCACCTACTATAAGTGAGCTTGAAACTTACTGTGTTATGTCGTTGAAATATAAACTATTTTTTCTTTCATAATCTTAAACATGTTGAATTTCATGTCGATAAAAGGGTATTTGCGGAGAATTACTTTCGCCATTACTTTATTCAAAAGAAATTTGGGAACTTATGGTGACCACACAGATTGTTTTAAATGAATGAAAAGTTGAATAAGGGTCGACTGAGGGACCACCTAGCCGGGTGTCTTGGCCGGTGGATTTCGATCTGCCAAGGTAAGCATCACGGACGCAGGCTGGAATTTGGATGGGTGACCTAAGGCAGGCTCGAGGACGTGGCTGTGGCAGTCTACCGGAGACCTGGGTCGGATAAATGGTAATGAGAACAGTCACCCTTGTAGTAAATAGGATGGTTTGAAGAAAACTACTCGAATAATGAAGCAGGGTGTACAAGGGGCCTAATAAGGCCTAAGTGCCGCACCGGAAAAACAATTCCACCACCCTCCGACATACATACATACATATATACAAGGGTCAACTGATTAAATAGGCACATATTGGTAAGTTTTTTATTAAAATAAGTTACAGCAGCATTTGATGCAAAAATATAATATTGTTGCTTATATTTACGTATCACATGAACAGTGCATTTTTTTCCTTCGAAACGGATTAAGCTTTAAATGCACTGCATCCCGTAAATTATATTTACAACTAATTTTCACTAATATTTTAAAAAAAGTTCATTATTTTACGACACAAGTGTTTTTACACGTTATTTTACAATTTTTACATCTAAATATATTATCATTGCACGAAATCATTACTCAGGTATTAATGGAATGTGTGTTTCAACATTTGTACATTATTTACATTTTACGCTTTTGTTATAAAAAACTTCCATCTTCTAAACAAGCAACGAAAGTTTCTTTGTAATTCTCTCTATTTTTTTTTCCACTGTTAACTATCACCATATGTGACGAATGTTCGATCACCAAAAGGACTTTACTAAACGACGTCAAACATAGTCTGACGGAACGCTTACGTTTTCACTAATGGCAGCTAATCTAGGTGCAACGGACCTCCGTAGATCACTATTTCCATTGTTGGGATCCCAGCAAGGCATCGTGACTAAACCGACCACTTCATAAGCACGATCTGGCACGGTGGTTACAGACAGATCTGAGTAGTAGGCACTACTGGGGGCACTAGAGACTTGAGCGTCTGGATCTGTGTAGGCCGAGTTCTGATAAGCCGGGCTGTTACTGTCTCTGTCGTTGTCACCCGTGGAACTTTCTCGATCGAGTTCGGCGTATAGCGCTTCTCCCACGCTGTTGTAACCTGAAACGTGCATTTTTAAAAATTTCATGCAATTTTCATTGTATTCACTCCAAATTTTGATCGTATCTTTCAAACATTTTGAAAAGAAGTACGTATGGGATTTTAAATTAAACTTTTTTCTTCAAATAGTTCAAACGCTCGCTAATCACAAAAATTAATGTTTTCAAATTAAATCTATATTTGATAACTGAATATAATAAAAGTTATATAATTTACTGAAAAAAAAAAATAAAACAAATTCCTACCGTCTTCCATGTGAGTGTAGTGGTTCTCCGCAGGGGATGTTGGGGGTGTGTTTAGTTGAGATGGTGTTGTGGTAGACTTTCTGGAAAGCCACGACCACACTCCGTTACTGGAATTTGTACTATTCTGGATGCTGGGAAAGTTGGCAGGAGTGATGGTGCTTATTTCTTTGTCATCGGGCGTATTTATCGGAGGCCTCGAGTTGAGAGCCCTTTGGCTTGGGGAACGCCCGTGCTCTACTTCTGAAAAGGTGATTCATTACTCGTCAGAAATCACAAGTAACAAGTATGCGTTAAAGCAATTTTGACAGCATTATTCTATTACGCTATTAGTCGTATAGTTACTATTTGTAAACGTTCTTAGGACACCCCTTTTTTTGTAAATACAATAAAAAGTACGTTATTCATTTAATAACTTATTATACTGTTTTACATTACATCTTATAGGAAATTTATAAAAAATAGAGCTTACCACTTGTCGTTGAGCTTTTCATTCTGGAAAAAAAGAAAAAAATTATTACGAATGATATTAAGAAAAATTAGTTTCATGATTACCTTTTGCAGTGGATAACTGTTATCATAATTATAGCACCTATCAGTGCAGAAACAAATGAAACTATGACTAAGGTGAGCATCCATTCTCCTGAGACTTCTGAAAAATAAGAATTAAAATTAAACGCAAACATCAATTAATACAATTGTGTAAATAAGAATTTAATGTTTTTGTTTCATTTTGTTATTTCCTTTCAAACTTTATAGAGAGAGAGAGAAAGAAAAAAAGAAATATACAGGGTGTTCTGAAAGTCCATCAGAAAACTCCAGGAGGTGGCTCTAAGGATTAAAATAAAAGCAGTCTGTAATGTAAATTTTTTTCGAATTGTCAATCGTTTACAACTTACATCTTGTCAAAGTTCAGTTTTTTTATTTTTCTAATTAAATAACTTATTTAATTCAAGTTCTATTAGTCTCTCATTTGGCACACCCACTAAAAGGCTATTGAATAGAAGATTTTAAAAGGAACTATGACGTTCAAGATATATTATTGCATGAATCGTTCAAATGGTCAATTTAGATGAAAAAACCGCGGAGTGCTTTTAAATTAGAGGGTGGAAATTGGAGATAGGGGTGAAAATGCACCCCTTTCAGTTTTTTAATAGTAGCTCGAAAACGAAGCAAAATTTCGCTATAGTTCATAAGAAAAATTATTTAGGGAATTGAATTTCTCATGGAAATAGCTTATTTAAAAAAATTAAAAGGAAATTTTATGTAAAAAAAATCGTTAATAAACAATTTGAAAAAAAAAGCAAAAAATTCGATTTTCTAATTTTTTTTTACTTTTTTGCCTCTAGTTTTTTTTTGAGTAAAGATAGGTATATAGTTTCATAGAAAAAAAAGTAGAAAAAATTTCCTTCAAAATAAGAGGTTGTAAAGTATTTTTAGATATACAGGGTGCTCATAAATTAAAAAAACACGAAAATACTCAAGAGAGAAGTACCATTATTTATTATTTTACACATTTTTATAAAACAAGTCTGTTTATAACCTCAAATAATGTCCTAATAAAAATTTTAAAATCAAAATTTCAATTCTGACTGTATAGCTATTTTCCACCTCAAAAATTAAAATTTTGATTTTAAAATTTGTATTAGGATATTATTTGAAGTGATAAACAGATTTATTTTATAAAAATGTTGTGTAAAATAATAAATAATGGTACTTCCCTCTTGAGTATTTTCGTGTTTTTTTAATTTATATATAATCCAAGATGTTTGTATGACAGTCTCACTTTTTTGAGGAGCAGAACTTTTTATAAAGAGTGACATTTTTCGATAAAGTCGAAAACAAGAGTTTCTCGTCAACTCAATCCGTGTACACACGGTATATACATTATTAATATTTTATTGTACTTAAATTCTCAAGTTTCTACTAAATTATTTTATTTAAAAAAAAAAAAAATTATCTTGTTCTCATTATGATATACTGGAGGTTTTTTTTTATCAAAAAAGCAATGCCATAAAAAAGTTATTTCCTAAGTTTGTTCCCAACTTATAAAACCCACGAAGGTACCTTCTATGTTCAATTCTAACATCTCCCGTTCATCCACAAGAAAGGGACTTTGCCGCCGATTACACTCCACGAATTATTACTTTATACCTGGCTCTGCTGACACAATTACCTTTTTTGTCTACCTATAAACCTGTTCCAGGTCTCAGTCTATCTATCCATGTAAATTACCTTGCCGATGCCTCAATTCTCTTATAAAATTGCTCTATTAGCGGTTCCAACTACAAAAATAAAGGAACCGTTCGTCAGCCGAATTAATTAATCCTACCGAAGGTTTTTAATTGTTATTACTGACATCTGCTTCAATATTGAGCCTGTTCGACCTGATAAAGTTAGAACTAATTGGTGTTTAGCTACCTGCACTGGTTGATTAAGGTCCACATGAAAATTACTATGATTAATGGGATTGGTGAGGACAATTTCGATTAATATCTTTCAAAATAAGTTTGAGATGCTTTAACCCTTTAAATTGTTACATTTCTTACATAAGAGAGAGCTATGAACAAAACAAATTTTGAGTTCTAGGTAAAGTGCCCTCTAGCGGTGCATAATGAAACTTTTCTCTGACTCGTCCAATAGAGTTTCCTTTACTTAGTGGGTGTGCCAAATGAGAGACTGTATACAAATTATCTGCAATAATAATCACTTGCCCCCTTGCCTCAGAGCAGCAACAATAAAAATCTGAACATCTCAAAATCACTCATATTTTAAATACATTATTATCATATAATCGCGCTTCAGGTTATATTATAAAATGAGGATAGCTACTGTCTTAGATATCTTCTCGAATCGCTTTGATGCTTTATTAACTTGGAGTTAAGATAAATATTTTTTGTAAGAAAAGACGCCGCCCATACCGGTACCCTCATATCTCCGAAACACCTGACTGATTTTTTTCCTGCCTTGGACATTAAATTAATGTTTTATGTTTTATGGAAGACAGTGGCGACTCGTCAACATTCAAATTCAGTACTGCTTCTTTCATAGAAATAATAAATATATTCACAAAGACAAATAATATTAACAATTGAAATTAACTGTCAGGAGACAGTTGTTTGTAAATGCCATTTTGACAAAAAATGCGTTGAAAAAATGATATTTGTAATTTATATTTCATTGGAGAACTGAATTTTTGAAAAAATTGCAAACATTATTGCGTATGGAAAGTTAAACTGTTGATAACAAAACTATTCAATATGCTTTTCTACATAGTTTATTAGTTTTAATCTGTTCATTCCTTTTATTCCTGACATATATTATCTTGGTTGATAGATAATTGAGGCATATAAAGATGGGTATTAAACAATCCTCTCGAGCACCTTTTCGTCGTCCCGTTTTATCGAAATAGTACATGTATCTACTGTATTTGATTACGTTTTCCTCTTTCAATTAATTGATTAATAGGAAAAAATAAATTTGGAGCGATATAAAATACTCCCATGGAGATGTACCGCCACTGGTCAGAGAAATTGAACCCATTCGCGATACCGATAATGTGGAAGACCACGGCGGTGCTTTAGGTGAAAATGCTCATGTTTGAGAGGATATCATTAAGGTGCTTATCAACCAGAGCTCCCGTAGAAGGCTTTTACATTTCTGCCGACTTGCCGTCGATTTGATCACCTAGCCATAAAACCTACATATTATTTTTTTAGTTTTCTTTTTTAGTAAATTATCTGCCTGCTTTATAAATTTAGTCTGAACGACGACAGCGTGCATCTAAGCGAAGGACTGAAATAAATTTTCTATTTCGGGATCAGAAACCAAGGTAGGTCGTACAAATTACCCTCATTTGCATGTAGAGTAATAATTCTGAGACTGCCGGGAGGTTCGAGAAAGGAAACGAGTAATTATCGCGTCGAAAACGGAAAAGAAAAAATGGAGCAGTAATTACAATGTATCTTTATTCTGTCACATACTGCTCTATTAGGATCTGGTTATATGTTGCACCCGTAAGACCGAAAGAGAAAGAGGATATTGTGGAGGTTTTTTTTGCCTCGTCATTTAATTGTCTCCACAATTTATCAGGATATACATATTAAATATGTTTTTTTTTTTCAGAATTATCGATCCTTCTCTAAAATCCATTGAAAGAATAGGAGCGAAAGAGTTAGATTGACTTGTTTGCTATCAGTTTTTCTGTATTTAATAGCACAATAAAGATAAAGGAATAAGAGAATATTTGTTTAGTCAGAAAAATGATTAATCTAAATCAGATCTAATTTTTTTATGTAAAACTACACAATGGCGACTCTTAACTGCCATACCAGGGAGGCCGGAAAAATACAAAGTATTGAAAAAAATGCTTAAAGTAATTGGTCAGTTTTATTTTAACTATTGAACTATAAGGAAAATGTGTTCAACATTATTTTTTATAGTGATAGTCCATTCTTCGCTTTTGTCCGAAATAAACTTTAATTGAGGAAATACATTAATATATTACAAATGCAATATCTTACAAAAAATGAATAACTGAGAACTCTAATTCTGAAAAACAAGGAACTCCTTCAATATGTGACACTGAAATTATGTGTGAAACGTAAAAAAGTATACAAATTTCATCAGAGATACCATGTCAAAAGACCATTCAACTCGAAAATATACCAAGAAAAAACAAACGGATGTTAATTTATCTTTTCAAGAATTTGGTGATTTACTGCCTTTCTACTTGTGATTTAGTAACGCTTTTAGATATTTTATAATCACCAGTTGTTATTCAGTCATTTATCTCGGTAAAAAGCCATTCCTAATTAAAAAACGTACTAGCTGCGATAAATTCAAGAATTTGGAATAATATTATCGTCCTTATCTACCCAAAAGTAGGAAGAGCTATGTGATACAACTAACAGCTTTCACGAGCAATTCAGAGTATCAGCTTGAAAGCCGTACAGATAAAAAAATATTCGATAGCACCACAGTTCTATTCTTCATAAATCTATGTTTTGATAGTTTACGAAATTTGCTTCAGGAATGAAATATGATAACACTAACAGAAAATATGACATTTTAGAATCTGACTGAACTTGTTCCAATAATCTTCTGGAAGATGACAGTTAATTGTGTGGTAAAAATCTGTTAGAATGTACCCTTTTATCACCTGTTAGTGTAGGTATACCTACCTCTGGTATTGTCAAAGGCGAAGGCACCATTTCCATTCTGCCACGCCCACGAACACAGATCACAGGTGGTTAGTCCGTCGGGGGTGACAGACTCGTCGAGGAAGAGGGGTCGCGGTGGGGGAGGTACAAAGTTTCCGGCGAAGAGGCCACCCTCGCTGGCGTCCAAGGGTAGGGCGGATTCTTCGTCGAGGATGCCGGCCCAGAGCTCAACGCCGTCGCTGCGATTGTTGCCGTTCGGAAGCACCACCGACACCTAAAAAAAAAAAAGAAATTTTCTAATACTATGCAATTATTAAAGTACATTGGTTGATTTAACTGAACTTAGAAAAAAAATCATTCTGGGAACCAATTTAAAATTATTGCATAAAAAAATTAAAGGATCAAAAGAAGTTTCGAAATTTTTCCGTAATTTTTGACATACTGTATTTAGGTGAAAAATGGTCGTATTGGAATTGAAAAAAAGCATTTTGAAGCTCTAAGATTCTAGTTTTTAGATCTTACGGTTTAAATTTTTTAGCAGCTACGGTTATCGTGCAATTTTAATAGCAGCGTGACAAAAAAAATTTACAATTTTTTTTTCCGAGTCCACGGACTTGGAAACATTTTTTCAGCTAAGCCATTGCGTGGACCAGATAGCTTGTTTATTCAGCTTCAATTTCCTTTTTTTTATTACGATACGACCATTTTTCATTGAAATATCGGAAAAGGATCCTAAAATTTGCGTAAAAAATGATAATTTGCGGCATGTTATAGGAAATTTATTCCAGTTTTCGAAACTGCGCTTCAATTCTCTATACGACGATTTGTCGCCGAGATATCGATGATTGAAGACAAAAGGATCCTTTTCCATTAAAAGTCCGATATTTCGATGAATAATGGTCCTAACGAAATTTTAAAAAAAGGAAATTTTGCAAAATTTTTTATCGCGTTATTTCTTAGAATTGCATTAGTTTAATTGTGCGAATCAAGGACATTTTTTATTATCCAACAGTTGATTATTCAAACATGTGGCGTCTAGTGAAGACCATCATACCTTTATAAAGGTACGAAAATCTTAAAAACGCAATATTAGTAGAAGTAGTTTCAAATAGCTTTTCATTATAGCTTTTAAACAAAAATTATCCAAATTTATTAAGAAACAAAAAAGTTATATCAATTACTACCGAAGAAAAAAAAACATTTATTCAAATCTGTATAGCGTTTAATTAATTTTAACACCCTCTATATCCAAATTAATCATTTACAAACTAGCATGAAATATTTGTTCACAAAACGGTATGCAATGTCTATACTGACTGAAATTTTATAGAATATGATTTGGAGACACCTTTGTTGATTTTTTCCTAATGACATACTCACATGTAACTGCACATTTAAGGAAAAATTACATATCCATCGATGTTTAACTTGCTTTCATGCGATACTCAATTCGATCCGCTGATATTTTGCCTGAACAAATACTGCTGTTTATTCTTTTTATGTGCACTCTAATGATGTCGAGTACTCTATGAAGTCCTGTAAATATCCTATTCCAATATTGACGTGTGCGGAAATTTTTAAATCTGTGTGATGTTCCTTTCGTATTTACAAAAAATGTTAGAGGCCATTTAGTGGTCCCTGTTCAAACAAAATAACGCCATAAATAATTTCTCACGTAAAATATAAATGGGTTGGTAATTTGGAAAAAAATGTTTTTAGGTACTATTATATTTTTCACACAAATATGTGTACTGTTAAATACATTTTCTCAAATGTATCAGCTCACTTCAAAATATTTTTGAATAATTAAATGATACAGTGAATAGATAATTGTGTCTGACTTGCTTAGATTTTCTAAAACTCTCGACAAAAAACTGCTATAAATTCACCGAAAATTACGCATAAACCAACCCCTTTTAAACGTTTCTTTGTGAGATACCCGTATCGAAATTATGTCGAAAAATAGGACAAAAAGAATTTCTGTAAGCGCCCTTCTGTAAAAATTTAATGATATTTCCTCAAAGAAATATTATTTACTTTCGACCACATTTTGATGAATATCAGTTAAAAATAGAACTTCAGTAACACTAAAACTGAATTTGTAAAGATATTGGTAAAAAAAAATCAGATTACACTCGCATCTAAACAATACGACAATTCAAGACAATTTGTTTTCGAGAATTCTACATAAGCGGAAAGCCAAAAAAGCCGTTCTCCTTCCCTGCCCATATCTCTAGAATTTAAGTGCAACAGCTTATAACTAATCCCACCCAAATTATCGTTAATAACTGGCAGCCTGTGTTTAACCGCCTTTCAATTACAATATCATTGTAAGACGAACAAAAACGCACTCGTAATTGGAGACTTCCAAAAGTTTTTTTTTCCGGGAATCCACGTCCAATCTAAGTGCCATTAAAATAACGAGAATTAACCCGCAACAATAAGATCTCAAAGGTGGGGTAATACGGTTAAATAAGTCACACACGCGATCCATAAATTATTATTTATAAGGCATGGTTCCTTGTAGCGCAGAGGCTGCAGCAACGCCCTAGTAAGCTTTACGAGTGCGAAACTAACGATCAGTTTCTGTTGCGCGGAGGCTCTCTTTCGTAAAAAAGTATCATTAAGTGCAACGCTAAGATAGCGTGTCACAAACGTGAAATTTTCCTCATTTAGGTACTCAGAAAAGCCTCAGGAGATGTGAGCTACCTGGAGTTTGGCTATATCTATTGGGAGCTTTGCCACAGGCACAATTGATTAAAAAAATATGTCTATAATATTCGAATTAAAGTATACGAGTCGACGTTCGATCCCACCCTATGATGTTTCGCCGTGGTCCTGCAGTAGGATACGCTTTTGGTATATCCGACATTTCCATCTCCTGATGTGGAGTCGATCCACACTGGTCTTCTCGTTTTAAATTTATGTAATCGTAAATCTCACCATTCAAATTTTAAATTCTATTAAAATTATTTATAAATTTTACACACCAGATCTCGATTAATATCTAATGTTTTTTTATCTGATGCCTTTGAAGCCAAATATAACTGGCCTTTATACCCACACACAATACATCAAATAATATATTTTTTATTTTATCTCGATAAAGATACGGTAATTATATAACATAAATCATAACCGCCGTGATCAATCATGCTTCCCAATGAAAGATAATGACTTAATTTGTCTTTTCTTTGGCCGAACGATCGTGAGCTCTACGCCGAGATGAAAACAATGACCGCCTTATGATAAACTGCTTAGGATCTCCCAGGTTTTCACTTCGAGATGAATTCTTCACTGCTCGGCTAGGCATCCCGCATTCTTGAGGATTAGCGAATAGTACGGAGGATTTATTCAGTTCCACATAAAAAATGTTCATGTTTTATATCTCCTTCACATTGTACCGGATATTTCTAACTACGGTAGGTACCAAATTTAATGAATGGACCAAAGTTTACAGAATATTTATTCTGTAAACTTTGAATGGATAGCGAGTAGAAAATGTAATGAAAAGACTGTCACTACCTTCATTAGCAAATATTTGCTTTTTGTGATGCGCAGGCAAATATTACAAACAACCAGTCGGCAAGAATACCCTTTTGATGATTCCTAATAAGATTGCACAGTTTTTCAAACTAGAACATCTTGAAACATATACAGGCCATTCATTACGAAGAACATCGACAACATTATTGGCTAATACAGGAGTAGATGTATTAGCAACCTTGAGACATGGTGGGTGGAAATTAGCCACAATTGCAGAAAGTTATGATGCTGACTAGGATTCTTTAGTATGACACTTCAACTCCAGCCAGGTTCTAGTAGTACGTCGCTTCATGCTATTTTAATGGATTAGTCAGATAATATTGAGCCTCCGGTGATTGAAATGGAGCGGTCAAATCATTTTAAGAAAAATGCGGCAATTAGTAATTGTGAGGGAATAATTATCCAGTTTTTATAAATGTTACTAATAATCCTCTGTGGCCAGGGGGGTCCCAATTGCCTCCTTCATATAGATGGAGTTACGCAAGCAAGGCAACCGCTCTCTTACATACCTACATGGCGGCGCACCCTTCTGAACGTTCAATCATTGTTTATAGCTTCAAATAACAGTGGAAAAAACAAATTTTCACACTGCAATTACTCATAATTTGTAGTATTTAACGTGAACTTTCAAACGCCGTCAGCAGAATTACAAAATACCTATTCAATCAAAAATTGTATTTTTCTCAGTATTTTGCAAGTTTTTTGTTAATAAAAAACCTGTCGACATCCGGGCAAACTTCTACCCAAAAAATTCGTGTTCTGCAGCTCAAAATACATAAAATACACTTAGGTAACTCCATCTAAATGAAGGAGGCAATTGGGACCCCCCTGGCTACAGGACTATAAATGTAATAACTAATATTTCTATTTATTTGTTCATAAAATATGCATTTATAACTCGAAATCGCTTTTTTCCCTAGGGAGGTAAGTTACCTCAGTTACCTCCCGTTGTCCATAGCAACTTCCACTTCTACGGTAAAATCCACTTACCTACTCCCTTAAAAACAATGTGTTAATAATCTATTTACTATAGTGGGAGCAGATAAATATATTTTATTACTAAAAACATAAACTAAAATAATATACAGTCTGATTATTATCAGTATTGACGATCATCAGATGGATTTATTTTAAGTAATCTCCTGAACTAAACAACTGTCGGATAAGACGTCTTGGAGATGGAATAATCTTCCAAATGAACACTATTCAGTGTTGAGTTGTGTAAAGACAATGTGGCATTTATAAACAATACAACAACCTGCATTTATTGTCGAATAACGCTTTAAAATAATTGTGATCAATGGTGTATAGGTACGTGTTAGTTTCATAATCTCGAATCGCGTTTAGGATGATATTGATTTTTTAGATGTATTTTAGAAAGTCGACTTTTAATATTTTAATAGTTAATTTTTGACACATTCACTCAGTACATGAATAGATTTTTCAAATAAGATACGCGAGACTGTCAATTTCAGAGTATCAAGAATTATTATTACGCGGAACTTAGGCCGAGCCTGCATCGCCCTACTTAATCAACTGTTCAACTCTTTACAATGCAGTAAGTAGGTCAAGTGCAGTGTGGTTATTTGCACGTGGGCATAAATTGGGCAAAAATTTAGTGTTTACATTGTGATTGTTCGACACAATTTTCACAATGATTTCTGATACATTACTTGCATTATTCTGAAAAGAATTCAAGTTCAAGAGAATTTAAGAATCGTGTTTGAT